GGCAGTTTTTTTCAAAGCCTATGATAAATAGTAGGAACCTGGGAAGCTGTGACCCGTGGATTCTCGGGCAAATGGCAGCAATCAAGCTAGTTAGTTGTCCTGAATCCACTACTGCTATGGCTCTCTGAGTGATGATCTCATCCTTTCCTGGGCAGGCAGGGTGTGAACAGGCAGGGCACTGCTCGTGCCCAGGGAGAGGGTACGTGTCAGACTTGTGCATGGCTGGTGGGCTGCTGCTGCCGCAGGCATCTGCCCACACAGTCCCTGAGATCTGCTCCTAAGTGAAGCAATTCTTAAGTCCGGTGTGGCAAGAACTGAGAAAGACTCTGGGGGCTTTAAAAAAAAAAGTAAGTATTCTGGAGCCAGGGACTAGTGGCTCATTTCCGTAATTCTAGCTACTTGGGAGGCTGAGATCAAGAGGATTGATGTTTGAGACCAGCCTGGGCAAAACAGTTCGAGAAATCTGTTTTACCAGAGTAAAATGGACTGGCAGTGTGGCTCAAGTGGAAGAATATCTGCTTTGCTAGCAGGAAGCCCTGAATTGAAACCCCAGTCACACCAAAAAAAGGAAATATTCTGTACCTCATTGAGAGGCTAAGAAAGAAAGAAGGCATAGGCAAACAAGATTTCACAGAATGTCAGAATTGTTCTATTTGGTAAACAGCTTGGTCCCCAGACAGACAGCATCCTGTTAAGATGTTCCTCTGTCAAGGTCTGCTTATCTAGTTTTTGCCACTGAAAGGATCTTTCCATTTCCAAGATGTGTCACCAGCTCATCAAACCTATTTCTGTAACTCTCAGTGAAAGCCAATTTAAGCTGACTTCTCGGTTCACTCTGCACTCAAAAGAGACCAATTTCCAGTTCTTTCTCAAGAGTCCATGAAACCAGATGCTGTGACAAATGTTCCAGTGAAATCAACCTGGAAAATGATCCCAGGGTGCTCCTTGGGGAAGCAGATTCTTCAGCTCTAAACATACGTTGGTTTCATGTGCAGTGTTGTCATTTCCAATCTGCAAGTCTTTCTGAAAGGACATGCTTTGTGATGGCACAGGGGACCTTCGGGGGTGGGGTGGGGACAGAAAAAAGCTCCCAGTGAGGCTAGGGGAGAGTGACAGATGCAGAGTGGTCATGTTTACCGGTGAGGCACTATTGCATCTGGCAGCCTGAGCTGGGTAGCAATTCCTGCAAATGAGAAGCCACTGCTTTTGTTAGATAGGTCATGGTCCCATAAGCCCCACTTGGAGCACTGTCATAAAACAAGTGGCAAATTCCAGAATCTTGATCTTTCTCCAGGGTGTCTAGGGCTCCAAATGACAACTGCAGCTGGAAAAGGCAGAGAAAGAATGAGTAGCGTTCACTGTTTCCCCTGCGTATCATTCTGCTTGTTGGAAGTGGTTGACTAGGTGAGAGGCGGGTCTAGAGACCCACAGCCAGGCCCCACTGCAAGAAGCCAGTGCCACCCAGGGACATTCTGCCTCTGCTCTGGGCTGGGTTCTCACAGACCCTGCTTTGCAGTGCATTACTGACTGTTTGGAGGACAGAGTCTTGCCTAACTTGATTTTGTGTATAAGGCTACCAGTTCACCCAGGGCCATGTATATAGCAAGTGGTGCCCACACTGATACCTGTCTATCCCCCAAAGTTGTCAGATTTCCCAAGTGGCCAATGTGCCATTTCCTAACCAAGTGGTTGACATTTCTCACCATCTGTGATGACATTTTCTTTGTTTGAGTATACGCCTTCCTATTGGACACAACTACAGCCTCGATAGATTGCCAGCCAAGCCAGGTAACATGTCTTGGCTGTGGGCTGAGTGGGTGGCTTAGGCACACCCACCTGGTCCTGCAGGAACAGCTGATTGGCCAGTTGCACGACCTGGTCCACGTGGATGATACCCCCGATGCTCTCCATCTCCGTGTCTGAGAGCAGCGTCAGCACCATGATGGCTTCCACCAGCAGCTGCCGGTATTCGGGCTGGGACACACGGTTCAACACTGACTCCACATGGACAGCGAACTTGATTTCATGTGGGGTCATCTGCCAAAGGGACCAGCAGTGAGAGACAGGGCAGACCTGTAACCAACACTGCCCCCAGGACTGTTGGAACTCAGCTTAAAAGCTGCCACCCTTTTGGCCACTGTCCCGATTGTGCAGAGGGAACCCTCTGAAGTAGAAGGCTGAGTGCTGTTCCCTGGGAGCCAGTTGGCCTTGACTACCCACTGGACTGTGACCTCCAGGGACAGGGACCATTTCTTATTTGTTTCTTCTGAAAAGAAGAAAAAGAAATTCCCTATGGTATAAAGCAAGGTACCTGGGACAGGCACCTGACTGCATGGGTGAAAAAATACCCAGAGGAAATGACAGCTTGTGGCTGGAGGACAAGGAGTCAAGGAGGCTGCGTGTGAGATGGAGTTTGGGTAAATCTAAAGAGCTCAGTAGTCCACATATGTTGTTTCTAAGGGAAACAAGACAGCAAAGGTGATGGGAACACATGTGCTCAGTTTGAGGGTGAGGTGGCTAAAGAGATGAAACCTGCAAATGGCTTGTATATACAGAATAAGCTTGAGAGGCACAGGCCATGAAATAAACCCACAAAGCAGCTGGCATTTGAGTTTTTCATCCTACCTCTCGGGTCGTTGAAGATGGGAGGACATAACCATCAATAGAGAGACCATGGCACTGGAGGAAGAACACAGAAATTACAGTCATACTCCAGAAGATAGCATGTGTGTGCTTGCACTCAGGCACTAACGAGTGCACACGCACTCCCGCGTGCATGTGCACACAGCTTTCCCTGCCCTGAAATCCACATAAGGGCTGGAACACGCCAGACTGTCAGTTATTTTTAGAGCACTGTTCTCACTGCCCACAGGCTGTGTTTTTGATGGAACAATTCTGGGGAAACCAGCAGGCATCTTTGAGATCATGCAGAAACAATGCCCTCGGGAGCTGTCGCATCCTCCTCCCCAGGGGCTCCGCATTTCACCTGGCAACAGGGCCCTGGTGCCTGCCAGGCTCCCTTCGGTGCCATAATGAAGAGAGATTTTCATGGCTTCTGCTGGTGAAGTGATGCTTCTCTGCCTCGGCAGGCATCTATTTTCGAGATTTCTATAATAAGCACCAATCACAAAAGACTTGAGCACATGCACAGACACGCACACGCGTGTATATAAATATCAAGTGGGCTTCATACAAATTGCTTTTTCATAATAAAAGCATCTTGGTATCCTGCCAGTAGAAGTCTGGACGGAAGCACGTGACATCCAGGAAGAGTGGGACATTTTCTAGGAATGGTTAGGCCGAGTCTTAATTGGCCACCTTTTTACCTTCCTGAGTCCCAGCTGGCAGCAGCTGTGCTGCCTTCACTTCAGCCTAAGGGCTCCTGAAAAGAGGTGTGGAGAGGTAGACCAGGGATCACTGAGGGCTCCAAGGACTCTGCTTTGTGGGCACTGTTGGTACCAGAGTTCAGGTGTTCAGGGGCAGGGCAAGCTCTGACCTCCCTCCCAGATCAGCACCCTCCCTCAGGCCCACAAAGCACAGAGACCAAGGCTCTGTGACTGGCCCGGGGTGCCTGCTGCAGAAAGAACACAGACCAAATGGTTATGTGGCTTTACAGAGGGGGCTGGCGTGTGTTCTCATTTGGGATTACAGTTTTCTCCTCTCCTACTGTGAAAGGAGCTAAAAAGAAATTGTTTAGGAAAAGTCTGGTTTGGTTTGGAAACAACTTTTAGCTTGTATGGTTTGCATTCTGTCCCTCTGTGGGAGAGGCAGGACAAGCTCTGGTGGGGCCCAGGGAGCTGCATGAACAACCTGAGGTCGATGTGGGAGGAGAAAGATTATGGCATGCAGAGAACAGAGGGGCCTGTCTTCCCATGCTCCCCCACCTTGGCAATGGGTGCTCAGCCAGGCTCTCCTGCTGTCAGGTGTATGCAGTACAGTCTGTTGCTGTGTCACCTCTTGGCAGTTCCCAACAACCACCTCTGGTGAAATGTTAACAGGCCCCAGGGAATATGGCAAACCAGCCTTGTCACAATCTGGCCACGTAGCAGTGGGCAGTTGCTTAGTGGAGGGGGCTCTGAGGGCCCTGTCCTCCAGGCAAGGAAGCAGGGAGAGCCCAGGGTGGGAGAGAGATTGTGCCTTCAGAGCACATGAGACCCAGGGCCAGACTAGAATGTCTTACTTCTGTGGGCCCTCAGTGCCCAGCAGACAGCAGGGCTCTATCAGGTTGAAGGGAACACCATGCTTGCCTGAATATGCAGCATGTTGGAGCCAGCCCTATCAAGAACCCTCCTGAACTGTCCAGGGCAAACGTCCGGGGAAAGGGGATGTTACAGAGCTTTTGTGCAAAGCCTTCCCTGCCTTCTTCAGTTTTTGTCTATCTCCCAACTTTTCTATGTTCCTGAACTATGTCAAAGTCAGTCCCTCACAACCTGGGCTGCCACTTTGTCTTACTTGTTGTAGTCCCAGCCAGAGGCTCTCAACAAGGGGCGATTTGCTTTGCAGGGGACATCTGGCAATGTTTGGAACCAGTTTTTTGTTACCCCCACGGGGTGGGGGGAGATGCAGCTGGCAACTAGTAGGTGGAGGCCAGGGGTACTGCTACATATCCTACAGTACATCGGACAGTCCCACGCAGCAGAGAATTAGTCAGCACCAGGTGTCCATTGTGCTCAAGTGGAGAAACCCTGCTCTCCACTAGGAGCTATCCAGAGTCAAGTGGGGGCTATGTTTGGTTGTTCTGCAGTCATCTGCTACCTGATACCTGGTGGTGCCAGTGCGACTCACAAAGAAAATGGGGAGTGGGAGTGGCTCATTTCCCTGGGAGCAGGTGTCTCCCAAGCACCAGTGTGTGCAGAGCAAGGCCCAGCTCCCAGCGCACCTTCTGAAGGATCTTCCACACCTTCTGGTAGAAGCCAACAGGGACCCTGTTGATGGCCCCGTCCAGCCTTCTCCTGCGCAGCCACTGACCCTGCTGCTCACCCCAGCCGATGTGATGTCCGCCAGAATCTGATGATGAAGTGCCCGTGGGTGAGGATGGGGTGCTGGACCTCTGCAAGACAGACACCACATGGTCTGCAGAAGCCTCAAGGGCCACCCAGCAGGTGTCACCAGGGAAAGCTTGCTACCATGAAGGCTGACTCACCTCCTCAACACGACCAGATGCTACTCACCCAGGGAGGACTCCTCGATTCCACTTTGTCTGCAGCTTGATGCTCAATTAATCTTTCCCACTCTGGTTTGTCACTTAACTCCTCCCAGCCCCCAGGACATGGTACATACCAAGGGGACCCAGAAACCCAAGAGCATGCCTGGCTTGTGCTGAGTGCTCATGGGGGTAGCTGTCACCCTGAGGGCTGTTCCCCACTGAAGAACTCTGGCCTGCCATGGGAAGCCTACTCGCTTCCAGGGAAACAGCCCACAAGAGAGCTTTGAGAGAGATGCTGGCCGTGGAGCAAGTGAGCCTCTCAGGCTGACTTTACTTACTCTGGCAATGCCACAGAGAAGCGACCATCACCTTCACATAGGGTGAGTGCCACAGAGATTGCCACGCATAATTCATGAGGAAAGGACCAGAAGGCAGAGAGAAATGCTCAAGGCTAGAAATCCCTGGCTAGTGTGGAACCTCAGAGATTTTGGCATTTCCACCCATGCTTTTCAATCATGCTTTATGTTCTTGGCCCTCGGTTTCCTTCTAAGGTTGGACCATGGTGGCTCAACTGGGACAGGCTCTGCTGACCTGGGGGAAAAGGGCATGATTTCCTTTCCACCTCCTCCCCTGAGGCTGGCCTCCTCTGGCCTCCGCAAGAGAAGCACTGCTTCTCTTGATCTACAGGCAGCCCAGGAGCTCCCAGCAGGGCCTGGAAAGCAGGCCTGTCTTCCCCACCTGCTGTCTTGCCCCTGGTGGATTCTAGCCCCTAGGCCTCCAGGTCAGGGCAGGAATAACAGGGATAACCTGAATCCTCACAGGCACCTCTCTCTGGACTATTTGGCACTTTCATTTCTCAACGTGCAACATCACGTTGAAGGTTTAAAACTAACACCCAACTATTAAACACTAGCAGGGCAAAAAGTGGGATTCTTTTCTCTGTACTCATTTTGACTTCAACAGATCTTACTTGTAGAAAGGCAGTTAGGCTGGGTTATTCCATTGGGTTCATTACTGCCATTTAAATAAGGCAGAAATTGGCTACAAATAAAAGTAATTACAGCTGCACTCCTCAATGACTCAGCTGATTTTCTCCTGCTGGTTTCAGGACACAGATTCAGACATTAGAACATTTCCTAGGCCTCCACTTGAGCTGGGACTTCACTCCCGATAGCGCAAAGTGCCCTACTTCCCAGCCACAGCTCAGGTGCTGGAGATGTAGCTCAGAGGTAGAGTGTTTGCCTAGCATGTGCGAGGCCCTGGCTTCCATTCCCAGTACCACATGCCCGAGTGTGCGTATTCACACACTGAAACAGAAGTCAGGAGTGAGGTGGGAGCATGGGTGAGGCCACAGAGGATTCAGATGGTACAAACACAGACAAGGAGGCAGGGGAAGGGAGGGATGCGATGCCAACGCAGGTTTACCGCAGACTTGGAAGAGTGCACACTGAGGGACACAGCCTGGCCCACAGAAAAGAACTACAAAAAAAAAAAAGAATTTACTCAGTCATGGGTAGTGACACCAACAGACACCAGCAGTGAGGAGAAACACAAGGGCAGTATGAAAAGTACCCTGGAAGGAAGGCAGAGAGGGCAGGCTAGACAGGTTCTCACTCTGCAGCACAGGCCTACGCAGCCCCAGGGTGCACTGCAGCACAGGGCTGGACCAGCTCCAGGGCAGAAGGCACTACAGGGTCTCTCTTTAAATAGCAAATGGTACTAGGTTCCATTCCTTTGTGGAGAATGCCTAGTCAAGCTGAGACACATTTTCCAAAGTCACAGCCATGAAATGCTAATGTTTCACGTTAAATTAGGAAAATCTACAGAAACTAAGAAAATACCAATCTCTAATACCAGGCATCCCATAGAGAGTCTTTGAGTGACATATGTGATCAGGCTGATGACCTTTGACCACAAAGTATTTCCTCATCTATGGGATCTACATTGTACCCTTAACTTGCATGAGTACAGTCTGTAAACACGGTGTTCTTGCAAAAGTGAGTAGAAACTTAGAATGCTATGGCACCAATTAAATTTTGAACAGATAGGCACTGAATGACTCCATGTCACAGTGTGTGTATCTGTACAGGAAGGAAAAAGACAACTGAAATGTTACTTTAGAAAATCAGAGTTGCACCACTACTGTTTTCACTTTCACCAGACATTCTTTCTGTGTTATTTGCATCCCTAAATATTTAATACAAGTAGATTTTGAATGGTTTGGGCTTTCAGAGATCAATAGAATGATTCAGTTTAATTTCTAAAGTCATGAAAAGATGGCTTGAAATGAGTAATTCTAATTCATATTTATAATAATACTCAATGTCTATGTTTCTTTCCCCACAGTAAAAGACTCCATCAGTTTCTTCATTAAAGCAGCCAAAAGAAATTTTTTGTAAAAATATGTTTGAACAGAAAGTATTTCCTTGACATAAGTAGGCAAACACAAAATAGGTACTGGCTAATAGAATATCACAGAAGAAAAGTGGTCATTTCACCCCTATAACATGCAAGGACAGCATTAAAGGGAGGAGGAAGGAACCATCCACATGGCCTTTGGGATGTGGGTAACCAGAGGGATGGTGCCACCAAGTGGCTGGCAAAGGAAGACGTTTGGAAAGTTGGTTCCTAACTTGGAAAAAGCGTAAACTAGAATGAGAGATCAAATGTGTTTTACACTTGGACAACACGTGCAATGTGCACTTTCATGTCACTCTGCTTATATTCCCCTGGTCGTAGAGACATCAATTATTAGAATGTGACTCCAAAGCCAGGCATGGTGGTTTATATCTGTAATCCCAGCTCCTCAGGATGCTGAGGTGGGAGGATCAGTGGAGCACAGGAGTTTGGGGCCAGCCTGCGCAGCACAGTGAGACCACATCTCAAAAACAAACAAACAACAACAAAACAATTCCAATTTTCTGGGAGGAATGAGAAGGGACTATGTCACAAGGTGATAGAAAAGAACAGTACCCTGATATTTTTTCCTCTCAGGGTTAAATACCTGCCCTGGGTGGTCTGAAGACAGAAATAGCTTCATTCTTTGAACTGACGTAATCATTGAGCACATTTCCCCCTATTTAGTCCCCTGTCTTGAACAGAAATGCTCAGTGAGGCAGCACCTGGACCTGTCTCACAAAGTATCCTACAAAGCCCAAGAATCTGATCAGTGGTTTTTTTTAAGGCACAGGGCAAGGTCATTTCTCCTGCTGTCAAATCCTCCTTTCTGTTCCTGGGGCTGGTCTGCCTTAACCACTGTACTGAGCAGAGCCGCTCCTCCCTGTGTTCACATACACACCGTATATTTGCAGTTTCGCTGTCCACATTCAAGCCATAGATCACACTCAGCACACACGCAGAAGAAACAAGGTAAGATGTTTTACCTGTTCATCAGCACTAGCTCTCCTGGTCATCTGAAAGTAAAAACATTTGGAAGTAAAAACCAGCTCTGAGTCAAGAAAGCCCTGCTACTCCCATCACCCTGACGTCACCTCAGGGAATGACCGTTAGTGTCTCACAGACTGGAGTCAGTGGGTCATGATCAGCATGAGACCTGCATTTCTCACTGCCGGTCACTGTCAGAAGGAAACTATTTCCTTCTGTGTCATGGTTAAGTCCTAGCACCAAACTGGCATATCAGTATTTGAAAAGAGGTTGAGTTGCAGTCCTGTGGGGGTCAGATCAAAAGGATTTTTATTGTGAATTAAATAAAGCTGAAGAAAAGAGACACCAGTGGAAGGTTGAGAATACACGCATCACAGTCATTCCGGTCTATTTCCAAACCCTTCTTGTTCTTTCAGTTGAAGGGTGCATTTGATGGAGTAACGTTGTTTCTTTTTACATGATTTTACTTTCTAAATGGCACAGAAGCAAAGAGACAGGGGTATATTCCAGAATGTACATGTAACATCAGGTGAAGATTAAGGGCGGATTAAGGTTAAGGATGGATTGGGGGGTTCACGTGTGCAGTTCTGGGGTACCTATCTGATACAGGGCTATGTTCAGATCCCAGGCAGAGCGATTTTACATCCTCTACAAAGAGGAGGCTGAAGCCTCATGACCTGGGTTTCTATGGCTTTTTGAGGTGAGCCCAGGCAGGAACTACTTCCCACTTGCTGCCACCACTAAGGTGTTCTTACCTGTTTCATCTCACTTCTCAGTCTGGTAATGCCACTTCTCTCAGTTTTGGTGACTCCAGTATGTCCCACCTCATGGATGGAGATGGCAGGGCTGGATGTGGATGAATGGATGGGGCGCACTGGAAGGGAAACACATGGTTCTTCGGGACTCTACAGCACCCACCTCACCCTCAGAAGGAAATACAGGTGATGTGCTTATGGGGTCTGCACCTGTCTCCCCAGCTTGGTTATAAGCGCAATCAGAGGAGGGCCTCACTGCCCTTGCCAGTGCCCAACTGCCAGTGCCAAGCACAGCAAGGCTCACTAGGTCGTGCTAGAATTGCTGTGTGAAAGTGTAGACACTGCTTAAACAGCACACGGAACAGATGCAGAAAACCTTTTACTGACTAGGTCTTAAAAGATAACCTTTTACTTATCCCAAGACACATCGTCCTTGTGGAAAACAGACCACCTAAGGGAGGCAGAAGAAACATCTGTTGACATTTTAGTCAGTATCCTGCAAACTTTTTGTTTGGCTGTGTGTGTTTTTACCTTATAATACAGCATATCACATACATAGGTATATATAAACATGAGATATATATTATATGCATATTATATGTACATATATCTACAATAAGCCCACCTCATTCGCAAGTTACATGTACTTCTAAACACAGTCGAAAAAGTGAGTTAAAAAACAAAGTTCAAAAACAAAACTTTTATAATTTTGTGTCTACATCACGCAGCTCAGTTGATGTGGACTTCTGTGTTGTTGTCAGTTGTTTAAATCATTGTGTGATCTGCTAAGTGTTTACCTGCCCATAATTCTGTGAAAATATGTCCCCTCGAAACAAATGGTACCTGAAATCCAGGTAAAAGTTATGGTTAATTTTTCCAAGCTAAAAGGGTAAGTAAGTGCTTAATTTAAGTGATAAAGTGAAAATTTTATATTTGTTGAAAGTTGGCATGTCTTTATCGGAGGTTGGGCAGTATTATGGTAAAAATGAATCAAGCCTCCACAGTATTGAATATACAGAGCATGAAATAAGATCTGTTTTTTGGTGTACAGTATTAATATATACAATCATAATTTTGTGACAGTAATGTAGCCTGCTCCATGTAATCTCAAGTTACAGCTGCTCAGACATACTGTGTGTATGGTATAGGTAAGTCTGAGTAATTCTAGAGTACTGAACTCTACACGTTCTAAGTATTCAGAGTTTTTCCTCAACAGTAATCTCCTTGGAACCTTATGCCCAAGGATACCAAGGGCCTAGTTCTTTTTGTATTTAATATGTTGTGACTGCCTTTCCATGGCATTAAATGTTCTATCACAATACATTTAATAATTGCATGACATTTGATCTCATGGGTGGTCAATAATATATCCAATTGTATTTGTATTTTTTTCTTTTTTTGGCATTACTGGTATTTGAACTCAGGGCCTTATGCTTGCTAGGCAGGTGCTCTACCACTCAAGCCATGCTCCCAGCCCTGTTTAATTTTTTTCAGATATGGTCTTGCTTTTTGCCCACGGCTGGTTTAGGATCATGATCCTATTACTTATACCTCCAGTGTAGCTGGGTTGTTTTGTTGTAATGGGTCTCACCAACGTTTTGGCCAGGCTGGCCCCACAGTGTGATCCTCCTGATCTCTGTTTCCTTAGTAGGTGGAATTACAGGTGTGCACCACCACACCAGCCCTATTTGCATTTTTCTAAAGAGTTCATCATGACTAATAGGTAGGATGGACATTGATCTTACTGGGCTTTATGTAGCCCTGTGTAACCCTCAAACTTCCAGGTGTCCTTGGGGAAATGACAAATCTGCTAGATGCTCACTGAAGGGCTTGGAACTTGGGAACCTATGGCTGTGGACCAAGTGATGGGGGTGTCAACATGCTATGCTCTGTCTGGGCACAGAGTGCAGGTATAAATACACAATGCCTAGGGATTGACAGTTCAGGGACAGAATTTAGTAGTGCTGCAGGGAAGAAAGCCCACCCCAGGCCTTCAGGGGAAAACACGTGGGAGAGGACTGAGCCTGCTGGAGGGCCTGGGGCTGAGGAGGGAAGTTTAGAAAGGTCAAAGGGCATGGTACTATAATAGTACCAGAGGGCAAGGAGGCTTTGTCCACTGTACCAGGCCACCACCCTCTCACTTCTAACACAGCACCAGCCTCAGGACTCACACCTGTCCCAAGATCTGCCCTTCATGTGCCTGGCATCTGGGCTGTGGTCACAAGGGATTATTCCAAAGGCAAGTGTGACTATATTACTGCCCATGGGGAATCCTCTCAGACATGGATCTGTCTTCAAGCTGAAGCCCACACAATCTTCCTGGTGCCATGGGAAGCCCTACTGATGGGGCCCCACCTGCTGTTTTATGCTCCCCACGTCTGGGCCAGCTGCACTGCTCTGAGCATTTGCATGTGCCACCCTCTCCCATCCTGCTGTTCCTGTTTGCAGACCCAATCAAAGGTGGCTCCCCACCCAACCCTGCTGATGACAGGGATGTGGAAGGCAGTGGAGAGGGAGGAACCCACCAAGGAGACGCACTGATCATCCACAACGGAGGAGGGGCACTTGGGAAGTAGAAAAATGTAGCCAAAGGGGGTCTGGGAAGCTTCAGGGGAGTGTATGCTAAAAAGTTACCTCTGACATCTCAGATTTTAAGCAGAAATCTAAGCCTAGTGGAGATTCCTAACTTATAAAAACTGAACATTTTGAAGGACAATTAAAAAAATGATGCTATGCTTAGAAAAGTCAGCATGTTTCCTGTCCTTACTTGCAAATTTGTGATTTTCAAGTGATATTTCTGAGTTCTTGGCTTCATTACATCCAATGACAATTATCTGTGTCAAACCATGTACCCTATTATGATGAGCAGAACACATTAGATCTTGATCTTTTACATTTATATTTCAAGGACTGAGCATTTGAAAGAACTGGAAATTACTTTTGGACAGGATGTTGAGCACTCATCCCTCAGGAAAGAAGAAAAACCACCAACACACATCAATTGCCCCATGCCATTGTTGTCTATGGCTGGCACGCACTTGGGAGAAAAACAAATTACCCAGTGTCCTTCTTATCAAATAAAAGGAATGACAGCCATGATGCACTTCTGTGAAAGGCTGAATGAAATAAATTCACCAAAGGGTCTGCAAATCGTTCAGCTATTTTATGAGGAGGAGAAATGATAATTGCTTCAATTACATTTAGGGAGCATTTGAGAACAGAATCATGCCAGAACTTTGGTGATTTTGTTTCCTATTACTGCAAGCAGGGTTCCAGGACAGATGAAAATGGTGTGAGCAAGACTGGGATGAGCAAAGGAACTGGCCTCCAGAGATCATAGAGGGGTCTTCTTCCTACCCAATTGAGGGTGACATGCGGCCTGGTTGAGACCACTTTTACTCAAGCCAAAGGCTGAACCACTAAGGTGATTTAAAAGGACAGCTCTTTCATCCTGACACACATGGTTATGCCCCAGCACTTGTGTTGAGTGATTGTACCTGGTGCTTATGGCCATTGGAGATGCAGGGCACAGAGGCATGTATGACATTGCATACTGCAGAAGAAATGCTTCCTGGCAAACCTGTGATGGTCCCCAATCCCTAAAAGCTGGGATCACAAGCCCAGGCCTCTGTTATCCCACCGAAACAAGGAACCACACAATCCCAAGTTCATTATGCTCCAACCTCCAGTACTGATGCCAATCGGCACATTAAGGAGGCCATTCCCCTGAGGTACCTGGAGCACTGACTCACCACTTCTTTCCACACCAAACTCTTTTCCACTCAAAATATGGTGCAAGAGATTCTTCATGTCAAAGGGGCTGAGGTTCATCAAACTCTCTGAAGCTTCTTCTCCTACAAACAAACATCTTATAAGCGTCTCAGGAAGAGATGGGGCTGGTGGCAGATGATGGCAGAGTTGGTTGGACCTGGGTGCAGTGGGGTAACAAAGCAGGCAGTGACAGGTCTCCCTGTTGAGGATTACCTTACCAGTCCTGTAAGGCCGAAAGGCACTGGTGCTTGGGGACTCTGCATGCTGCTCAGTACAGAAGGTGTTTGATTTCTAGACACAAAGTTTTTCTCATTGTACAGATCCCCGATGTTGGGGTGCGTATTGCAATTGATGTTCGTATTTCAATTGGTAGCACTTATCCTGGTGAAGGTGTTACTAATGGGGAGTGACGTCTCACAGTGAGGAGCTTAGCTGTCAGGTGCAGCAAAGGTTCTCATGACGAAATTTGCTTGTGACTCAGCCTCCATGACTTAGGAGCTTTAGTCCACTGTGCTGCATGGCCTGATGGGAGCTACCTCAAATGAAGGAAGCAAGGGAAGGCCACGCTTGCAAGGAGGTAGTGAAAGCCAGCTTAGGAATACTTGAGCTGGGCTTCCCCTCAGTTTGGGGACTCAAGGCTTTGAGGCATGGGGTTGGGGCTGGGGCTAGGCGGGCAGGAGCTGTGGGAGCCAGGGCTTCTTACCTGAGCAGTTCAGACTCCTTGCCAGCTCTGTGGCCATCACCTGAATAATCAGTCCAATCCGGAGCCTGAGCATCTCCACAAAGAGGCTGGGCTGGGCCCGGACATACATGGCCAGGTAAACCACAATCTCCTGATGCAGACACACATGGGGACAGAGCTTCAGAGATGCAGTGGGTGTCCGAGAGGACCCCTGCTGCATCGAGGAAGGCTGTGGCCTGGCCCCTCCTGTACCAGCCGCTGACCTGTGTGAGGACGGCGATGCTAATGTCCTGGCCGCTGGCCTCATAGATGAGTTTTGTGAGCTCTTCTGGGGGTAGTGGTCTAGGAAGGAGGAGGAGGTCACAAACACGTTGAGTGTCTCAGATAAAGGGCCCCTCACCCTCCATAGAAGATCCCTATTTCCTGTGTAAGAAGTACCTGTGTGACACAGTGTCTTCAAAAAGCCTCTCCTCCTGAAAAGTGCAGAGCACTGATGTTTTCCCACCATTCCCCCACACCTGTGGTCCCCTGAATGAGCACTTACGCAGAGATGGTCTTCTCCCGGGGCTCGGGTGGTAAGCCCACCGTAAGCTGCTTCTGGTGGGACAACAGGTCTGCACATGCCTACACATTTGGGAGAGGGGAATAGAGAGAGGGAACTTAGGCAATACCAATGGGGAAGGGTCAATGCCAATAAGATCAGAAGTTTATCTTTACAAATTTTATAGTACATGGTACCCTTAATTTGAAAAATTCATGCCTAGAACCCAGACTGAGCAACCTAGGCAGGGCTGGGTCCCTGTGATCTGTGTCCCTCAGGTGTGGCCTCAGGCGTAGCTCTACATGGCCCATGAGTAGAAATTTAATGCCCATCTAGTGTAGCAAACACCTTGAAATCCCTGGTATTCAACACAGTGGGGACAAGTGCTCAGTGATGGCAAGAGTTAATGAACACATTACATTCCAGTTTCCCCATTATACACATGTAGTAACTATCATCACTTTATAAGAACATTGAAATTTAATGTTATTGAAAGTGGTTCTGGATTTTGCAGGCCCTTGGGGTCATAAATATTAATGATCATTGTACTGTGGATGTACAGAAATAGTAAAGCTCTATTTCAGAAGATGCCAGGCATTTTCATTTGATTTCTTGGTAAGCCTTTCTTTCTGTTTGGTTCTTAAGATTAACTAAATTCATCAACTTGAATTCCCTTCCCTCTGCTCTCTTCCCAGGGCAGTGGGAGGTCAGGAGAGGAGGGGCTGCCCCAGCACTGGATTAGATCCATGATTTTCTTTACAGATAAGAGGTGCTTGCCTCAAGCTTCCATAACTGGATGATTGTAAGAGAAAGAAGGCATGGGGTGAGAGGAGATGAACAGACAACACAGAAGGCACATTTGCTCTGACCTCAGCCAGGACCTCCACTTTCTTCCTGAGCAGGCCTGAGATGTAGCGAATCAAACCCCACTCCTGGTTCATGCCGGCTTTTCCATAAAGCTCACTCAGAAGACTGTGAACGGTGACCCCATGCTGTCCAGAGAGATTGGTGTCCCAGTTGGGACCCCTGTCAAGAGGTAGAAAAATACAGAGTTTTGGTCCAGAATGTTAAGGCTGAGAGGAACAGATCACCCTGCATTCTGCCAAGTGCTTGGACATTCCTACTATTGCTGAGCTTCAGCAAACCTTCTCTATGTCCTTTGAAATTGATGCCTAACATCCAGACATTGTGGGATCCAGGTCTCTCCTAGCCTTCTCCTCGAAGGCAAGTATCAGTACGTAGAGAGGGAGATGAAAGTGTTATTCATGGAGATCCTGGGTAATGTGAGTGAATATAATCATGGCCTGGGGTTACTGGAGTGACTAGAGACAAAATAATCAAGGAGAACTGAGAAAGTTCAATGTAGTATGGACCATGAAGTTACTGCTGTGCATGCATGTTTGTGTCACCCTCAAATTCCTGTGATAAAATGCTAACCCTCAGAATGATGATATTAGGAAGTGGGGAGCTTGGGAGCTGATTACGTCTTCAGGGCAGAGCCATAATGATCAAGATAGTGCCTTTCACAGTGGCTCACACCTGTAATCCTAGCTAATCAGGACATGGAAATCAGGAGGATAGCAGTTTGAGAGCAGCTTGGGCAAAAAGTTATGGAGACCCCCATTTCAACGCATTTCAACATGGTGGCATTGAGTCTGTTATCCCAGCTATGAAAGATGCATAAATAGAAGGATCATGGTCCAGACTGACACAGGCCTATCCAAAAAATAACTAAAAAAAAAAGGAGGCCCTGAGTTCAAACCACCAAAGAAAATAAAAAGATAGTGCATCCCTTCCGCAGGTGGCATGTGAAGACACAGGAAGACGGCACCATCCACGAAAAAGTGAGTCCTCACCAGACACCAGATCTACTGGCATCTTGATCTTGGATTTCCAGTCTCCAAAACTATGAGTGATGCATTTGTGTTTATAACACCAGTTCATAGTATGCTGTTACAGGAGCCCAAACAAACTCACTTTATTACATAAAGGATGTACAGAATGTCTGCTTGGTCCTGTAGGTTTGAACAATCTTTCAACTGCTCAACCAGCTTCTCACAGTCCATGTCACCATGGTCATCTTTGGGCCACTGGAAGTCATCTTTGGGAGCCTAGCCACACAAAAGCCAAAAAGCAGGGAAAGGGCTGAGCATGGGAACTTTCATATGATCAGGAAGAAAAACACCAACCTGGTCTGTGAACTCTGGCACTGTGTTTACTGGGTTCCATTTTTTTCAGTAATTTTTTCACCTTTTATTTATAGGCTTTCATTATTTTTGATCAGTGAATTACTGTGTTGGTCAACATTTAAACATGGTCAATTAAATATATATATTTAACAGGTTAAATATGTCTAAATTTTAATTATGCAAAGTTCAAAACCAGGGAAAACTAATCTCTGCTGCCAAAAATCACAAGAACAGCCTATTTTCATCCCACAGTGGGCCTTACACATGCTAGGCAAATGTTCTACCACTGGTCTTGTAGATTTGAACAATCACTAGCCCCTAGCAGTTACAACTGGACTACAGGGAGAGGAAATAACTGGGAGGAGGCATGCACAGAATGTATACTAGCTCAGTGACAATTTCTTGCATTCTATACTTGAGCTTTATGTATCTTCCTATCTTTATGTGATAGTTTAATAAAATATTTCTTGAAAACAAAACAGAAAATGTATGTTTTAAACAACCTAAAATTGAAGATGACAGACACTGGATAGTTTAATTCATATAGGATAAAATCAGGGCGACTTCTAGATAAAGTAACAAAATATTGGAAATGAGAAACACCCTGAAATTTTACACTTCTGAGGAATCTCTTCCTGGTTTTCATTACATTAAGAATATGAGGAACAGCATCTCGTACCCTGTTACCTGTACCTTGGCTAGCTGGCTGACTTAGATAGGAGAAGGCAAAAGGAGCAGCAAATTTATTTCCTCTAATGCTATCTGGGTTCTAATGAGTAGGCAGAAAGGCTGTAGCCTTTTCCTACAGGCAAAATATTATAGAGGTTTATACCAAACTAAGTGTACGTAATGAAGCAAATCAGAATCTAGACAACTGAGTGACTGGATTCTCACCAAAACTCGGGGCATCTACATCTCAATAGATGCAGAAAAAGCCTTTGATAAGATCCAACACCACTTCATGATAAAAGCTCTAAGAAAACTAGGAATAGAAGGAATATACCTCAACACTGCAAAGGTTATATATGACAAACCTACAGCCAACATCATATTTAATGGTGAAAAACTAAAACCATTTCCGAGACAAGGGTGCCCACTATCCCCACTCCTATTCAACATAGTACTGGAATTCCTAGCCAGAGCAATTAGGCAAGAAGAAGGAATAAAAGGAATGCAAATAGATAAAGAAACTGTCAAAATATCCCTATCTGGAGGTGACATGATCCTATATCTTAAAGACCCAAAAAAACTCTACCCCAAAACTGCTAGACAGCATAAACAGCTTCAGCAAGGTGGCAGGATACAAAATCAACTTACAAAAATCATTAGCTTTTCTATACACCAATAATGAACAAACTGAGAAAGAATATATGGAAACAATTCCATTTACAATAGCCTCAAAAAAAATCAAATACCTAGGAGTAAACTTAACAAAGGATGTGAATGACCTCTACAAGGAGAACTACAAACCCCTGAAGAAAGAGCTCTAGGAAGACTACAGAAGGTGGAAAGATCTCCCGTGCTCAAGGGGAGCCATCTACATGTTTAATGCAATTCCCATCAAAATCCCAATGACATTCATCAGAGATTGAAAAATCTACTGTTAAATTTATATGGAAACACAAGAGGCCACGAATAGCCAAGGCAATACTCAGCAAAAAGAGCAATGCAGGAGGTATCACAATACCCAACTTCAAACTATATTGCAAAGCAATAGCAATAAAAACAGTGCGGTACAGGCACAAAAACAGATATGAAGACCAGTGGAACAGAACAGAGGACCCGGATATGAATCCACACAGCTATATCCACCTTATTTATTTTTTTGAGTAACTAACTTTTATTTTATTTATTTATTTATTTATTTATTATTCATATGTGCATACAATGCTTGGGTCATTTCTCCCCCCTGACCCCACTCCCTCCCTTACCACCCCCTTGATACCCGGCAGAAACTATTTTGTCTTTATCTCTAATTTTGTTGAAGAGAGAGTATAAGCAATAATAGGAAGAAACAAGGGTTTTTGCTAGTTGAGATAAGGATAGCTATACAGGGAGTTGACTCACATTGATTTCCTGTGCATGTGTGTTACCTTCTAGGTTAATTCTTCTTGATCTCACCTTTTCTCTAGTTCCTGGTCCCCTTCTCCTATTGGCCTCAGTTGCTTTTAAGGTATCTGCTTTAGTTTCTCTGCGTTGAGGGCAACAAATGCTAGCTAATTTTTTAGGTGTCTTACCCATCCTCATATCTCTCTTGTGGGCTCTCGCTTTTATCATGTGATCAAAGTTCAATCCCCTTGTTGTGTTTGCCCTTGATCTAATGTCCACATATGAGGGAGAACATGTGATTTTTGGTCTTTTGGGCCAGACTAACCTCACTCAGAATGATGTTCTCCAATTCCATCCATTTACTGGCGAATGATAACATTTTGTTCTTCTTCATGACTGCATAAAATTCCATTGTGTATAGATACCACATTTTCTTAATCCATTCGTCAGTGGTGGGGCATCTTGGCTGTTTCCATAACTTGGCTATTGTGAATAGTGCTGCAATAAACATGGGTGTGCAGGTGCCTCTGGAGTAATCTGTGTCACACTGTTTTGGGTATATCCCCAAGAGTGGTATTGCTGGATCAAATGGTAGAGTCCCACCTTATTTTTGACAAAGGCGCCAAAAACATATGATGGAGAAAAGACAGCATCTTCAACAAATGTTGCTGGGAAAAGTGGTTAGCTGCCTGAAACTAGATCCATGTTTATCATCCTGTACTGGTATCAGCTCAAAATGGATCAATGACCTTAATATCAGACTTGAAACTCTGAAGTTAGTATAGGAAAGAGCAGGGAATACCCTGGAAGTAATAGGTATAGGCAAGGACTTCCTCAGTAGAACCCCAGCAGCTCAGCAACTAAGAGAAAGGATGGACAAATGGGACCACATCAAATTAAAAGGCTTCTGCACAGCAAAAGAAATGGTCTCTAAACTGAAGAGACCACCCACAGAGTGGGAAAAAATATTTGCCAGCTATACATCAGACGAAGGACTGATAACCAGAATACATAGGGAACTCAAAAAACTAAACACTCTCAAAATTAATGAACCAATAAAGAAATGGGCAACTGAATGAAACAGAACTTTCTCAAAAGAAGAAATTCAAATGGCCAAAAAACACATGAAAAAATGCTCACCATCTCTGGCCATAAAGGAAATGCAAATCAAAACCACACTATGATTCTACCTCACCCCTGTTAGAATATCTATTATCAAAAACACCACCAACAACAGGTGTTGGTGAGGATGTGGGGAAAAAGGAACCCTCTTACACTGTGGTGGGAATGCAAGCTAGTGTAACCACTCTGAAAACAATATGGAGTCTTCTTAAAAATCTAAACATAGATCTGCCATATGATCCAGCAATCCTACTCCTAGGGATATACCCAAAGGAATATGACTCAGGTTACTCCAGAGGGACCTGCACACCCATGTTTATTGCACTGCTATTCACAATAGCCAAGTTATGGAAACAACTAAGATGCCCCACTACTGATGAATGGATCAAGAAAATGTGGTATTTATACACAATGGAATTTTACTCAGCCATGAAGAAGAATGAAATCTTATCACTCGCAAGTAAATGGATGGAACTGGAGAACATCATCCTGAGCGAGGTTAGCCAGGCTCAGACCAAAAATCATGTGTTGTCCCTCATATGCAGAGTTTAGATCTAGGGCAAATGCAGTAGTATTGTTGGACTTGGGTCACACACTAAGGGGAGAGCACATACAGGAGGAATAGGGAAAGGCAGGAAACCCGAAACTTGAAAATGTTTGATGTCCCCACTGCAGAGGAGCTACTACAGTAACCTTAAAATGACAGAGGTCAATATGGGAAGGTGGCCGGGAAGTAGTGAAGAGGTCTGGTTCAATCAATTAGGGTTGCAATACACATGTGCATGGAAGCAATGCTAGGAATCTCTCTGTATAGCTGTCCTTATCTCAACTAGCAAAAACGCTTTGTCTTTCTTATTATTGCTTATGTCTTCTCTTCAACAAAATTGGAGAAAAGGGCAGGACAGGTTCTGCCTGGAAGCGAGGGGGGTAGGGGGTCAGGGGGGAGAAATAGCACAAACATTGTATGCACAGATAAATAAATGAATAAAGAAAAAAAACTCAGGGCATATAAACCAAAAAGTTCTGCAACTCAAGAAATGTGTTCTTTGAGTTCCACCAATTAAGAGAGTTCTTGGGACTGACCTGCATTACAAAGTGTTACACTTTTTAAAAAGCTGTTCAAACACTTACCTTTTTTAGGAGTGGCTGAGGAGAGTCAACAAGATTCAGTGATTTACGGTGGGCACTGAGACTCTTAGTTGGCAAAATCATGGGAACAACTAGAAAAAATAATAAAAAGAATTCTTCTGAGGATGAATAACAATAAAGTACATCTTTTGAGAGATGCAGTGGTTATTCCTTATTTACCACAAAGCAACTGGCAGGATGGTTATTTAGGTTAACTAATTTCAATGAGAATTTATTATGTAGCCACGTCATGTGCCGAATCTGGGAACAAGAAATAAGCAGAATATGGATTTTGTTTTGATTTCACCATCAATCCTGGACTCAGGGAAAATCCCTCCAGGACTGTAAAGAGACTTAGAAACCTGACTCTTTTTTTCCCTTCAAAGGAGGAAACTAAAACTCAGAGAGGACAGAGCATTTGTCCAAGGTCACAGGAGTTCCATAATCAAGGTGTTTGGGTTCCCTGTCCAGAACATGTTTCACTCTGCCACACTGCTGGGTGTTAGGGGTTGTTTTTAAATCACTTTGGATATTACCATTATCTATAGTCATTCTGTAAGTCATTTAGCCAAAGCATATCATCTCAGGAGACTAGGAAGTTTTCAACATAAATCTGAGGTATATTTCAAAGGTATTTATAAATCTAGGTACGGTGGCACAAACCCAGCACTTGGAAGGTGGAAGCTGGAGGGTCATGAGTTTGAGACCACCTTGACCTACATAGTTCGAGGCTAGCTTGAGCTACATAATGAATTTAAGGGCAGCGTGGAAAACATAGTGACACCCTGTTTCAAAACAACAAAAATAAAACAAACAAAAAAAGAAATCCTGAGGAATAGGGAAAACAAGAGAGAAGATAACAGTAACAATGTTTCAAAAGTAGGAAAGCTGATGGTTGAAAGACAACTGATTTAGCAGAGATAGGGTAATCAAACACCAAGTTTGCAACAGGGAGGTGCAACACCAAGGGAGATGTGCAGCAGAGGATCCTCAGGAGTCTCAGAATGTTGCTACAGCAGGGCACCTCTTGAACTGGGCTCCAGAGGAACCAAAATAAGGAAGACTGAAGAAAAGCTGTGTGAGAAGTAGTGAGTGCCCTTGACGCCCTCCTCAACTGCACACAGCATGGTGGCCGCCTTGTTCATGCTCACTGAAGGCTGAGGGTCTCTCTGAAGAGGGTAAAAGAGGAAGGACTGACAAGTCTGACGGCCCGAGTACACTCCTTAGGGACACTAAGTAACGAGACACACAGGCAATCAGACCCTTGCCCTTCAAGTAGAAGAATAAATAAGAGACTGAAGGGTACCTCTGGGATATCTGACCAGCCACGAAATGCAACACTGAGACCATGGGTCCCACCCACATGCTTAGATATTCTCCTACAAGAGTGGATGAGTACCAGGCACTGGAGAAAGGAATCTAATGTAGACAACACAACCTAAACCAAGAGGAAAAAGTGACTTGGAAGTGGAAACCATTTGGGGAGAAGAAAATGTAAACACACACAAAAACAAAAAGCCTTGCTACTAATATTCTTAGAACGATAAGAAATTATATTGCATGCATGATACGAGAACAGATGCAATTTGGGAACCAAAGATTTAAAACATGACAGTAAAAATGAAAAATTTCAATGGAGAGGGTGAAAAAAAAGATTGAGGTAACTGCATGCAGAACAGAGAAGGGGGCAGAGTGGGTGGTATGGGAGGGCGTGGGGGCAGGGGGGAGAAATGACCCAAGCCTTATATGCACATATGAATAATAAAATAATAATAAAAAAAGAACAGACAGAGAAAAGTCAGAACAATGAAAACATAAGGAAGGAAATGAGTCGATTGAAGAACATTCATTTCCAGATTGGAAAGGCTCATTGAGTGCCCAACCCAATGGATGAAAACATACCCACATCAAGGCACATCACTGAAATTTCAGAACCTGGGAGTAGAGAAGATCCTAAAAACTTTCAAAGAGAAGAACAGTTTATATTTGAATGATCACAAATCAGAATGGGTTTAGATTTTTCAACAGAAACACTTCTCACAGGAAGACAATGAAGATATGCTTTAAAAATCTGAGGAAAAAATAAATTTTCAATCTCGAATTCTATACCCAGTCAAACTCTCAAATGGGTAGAAGATATTTGTAGGTATGTTCAAATGTGTAAGGTTTCAATAGTGTTATCCACCATGTACTGCTTCTCAGGAAACTGTTGGATGTCCTCCACCAAAATCAGTGAGTGAACCAAGGAAGGGGAAGAGTTAAGGTACAGAAAATAGGAGAACCAACCCAGGAGACCAGCCAAGGAGCCCTCCAGGATGATGGTGAAGGAAGATCCCAGAATAAAAATTACATCCACATGTGCAGGGCAACCAAGCCAGAAATGATAGGGAACTTGAGAAACAAGCAAGTTGAGGGCTGTCACTACCGTGCCCTCTAAATTATACCATTTCCTTCATCCCATTGAAACTATATTCCACAAAATAAAGGAATAAATTTAGAAAGGGAAGCACACCAGATTCAGAAAACAGGGACTATAACTAAAGAGATGAGCCAAAGAAATCTCTAGGGTGACAGGTATACAACAGGCCTAGAACAAAATTGGCCCCCAAAAGAGACTTTGTAGTCTCTAAGAAAAGTAGTGGAATTTTATTTTTATTTCATTTTTTGTGAGACTGAGGTTTGAACTCAAGACGTCGCACTTTTGCTGTAACACTTGAGCCACACCTCCCAGTCCATTTGCTTTGGTTATTTTGGAGATGGGGGTCTGCCAAACTATTTGCCTGGGCCAGCCTCAAATTGTGATCCTCTTGATCTTAGCCTCCCATGTAGCTAGGATTATAGGCATGAGCCACTGATGCCTGGCAGGAAGTTTCAAATTTTTTTTTTGGTGGTACTGGTATTTGAACTCAGGGCTTCATGCTCGCTAGGCAGGCACTCTACCACTTGAACTTCTCTGCCAGCTCAAGAGATTCTTGATATGACTGACCTTGTAGAAATTTGTATTGTGAGGCCACTGGAAGATGTCGAAAGAAAAAGCAAATGAAAAGACAGAGCAACTATTAACTTTAGAAAACAAAGTAAATATGGTGCTATAATCATAATACATTCTAATGCTCAGTTAAGAATAATATTTGCATGTATATAATAATACACAGAGTGAATACTGATTTAACTAAACTTTAATACAACTGCCTTGGTAGGTTAGGGGAAGTGAAGTAAAGGAGTGGTGATTTAAGACAGCTAAACCTTTACCCACATAAAAGTCAAAAGGTACCAAATCAAATTGATACATCAAAGGACATATGCTAAAAAATGGAGATATGAGCTGGCATGGGGTTCACATCTGTAATCCTAGCTACTCAGGAGGTGGAGATCAGGAGGATCACACTTTGAGGTCTGGACAAAATGTTTATGAGACCCCATCTAATTCAATGAAAAAGCTGGGTATGATGGTGTGTATCTGCCATTCCAGCTATGCAGGAAGCATAACTATGAGGACTGCAGTACAGACTGGGTATAAATAAATGCAAGACCCTATTAGAAAAACACCTGCAACTAAAAAGGGTTGGGGTGTGGCTCAAATCTCAGAGCACCTGAGAAGGTCCTGAGTTCAAACCCCAATAGTGCCAAAAGAGAAAAAAAAATAGGGAGATATGTAAATGCCAGAAGAAACAGCTAGAAGAGTTGAAAATGCTCAACTCTTAAGCAGAAGGATAAAGGAGTAGTGGTTTGTTGGCTTTTAGGACTCTTTGACTTTTAGATTATGTCCACACATTACTTTGAAAACAGAAGGTATTTTAACAGGCAGAAAATAGTTTAATAACACACATGGAGTTTCCAAACCCTTTGCTTTTGCCATCACAGAAAGTATGTCCCGAGTGGAGTATATGGCACTGAAAACATGGCCATCTTCTGTCTTCTTACAAAGTGGTGGCAGATAGCACCTCAAAGATGTGCTTCGCAGAAGGTGGTTGATATACTGGTCAAGTTCATCTAGGTTTTCTGTAATTGGACAAACAAGAAAAAGACTCAATGAAACATGCTGCAGAAATATCTTAATACTTAACAGTGTATGTGTAGCAGGCAGCACTGAGTAGATTTAGGGGAAAACAACATTTAGATACAGATATTTGCACCTCTGCCCACATCTGAAGAATAAAATGTTAGTCTCTATGAAAAAAAAAAACCTTCATCCCAGGAAAACAAAGTACAGGCCAAGATAATGTTTATATCACATCATCCCAAAATAAGCTGTATAATATGTAAGACAGCCTGAAGGACAACAGCTAATATTTCCTGTTTTAATTTGTCAAGAGTGAACTAAGCCTTCTCAGCCCCAGTTCCAGTTACTTTGACCCCAAAATCTTGTTCAGATTGAGAACTGTTATATACATGGGGCTTCATCATTCATATCTCGTCAATCATAGATCATTCATCCATTCCTTTGAAAATTCAGGCAACGTATTTCTGTCTTCAGAACATATATTGTGAGGGCTGGGGGTGTAACTCACTGGTATAATAGGTACAACGCTTACCTAGCATGCATGGGGTCCTGGGTTCTGTCCTGGATCAGGACTTAGTTTAAGGACCACTTTAAGGAGTCAATTAGAGCAGGCAGTGAAAATGAAGTCACAGGGGCCTAAGCTTCAGTGGGCAAATGGGCCATATCAAATAATAATAATAACAACAACAATAATAAACTTTGTGAGACTACAGTTTTTTTGGGTTTAGAAAAAGTCCTACTATCAATGGCATCATTTGCAGTTTAGGTTCTTAAACTGGCATGTAATTCATTTTAATACATGCAAGTATACATGTTTGTTTGTTTGTTTTTAGCAAAATTGCCAATTGTTTTCTGTACTTGAGTCATACAGCAATTTCATGACAGTACCTAGGCTTAAATCAATTCAACAAACCATCTGCAAAAGCGTTCAATGTGGTACCTTGATTACCAGTGTCTTCCAAATATCCTCCCAGATCTGATTCACTATCAGGGCTAAAGCTCCCTTCACTGGTGTCCTCAAACAACTTCTCATTGCAGTCTGGATCCAGGAAGGTCAGATACGTGTAGAACGAGGTAGTAAGAAATTCCGATAGGTTCCCTAGTTTTACTCTGCCAAGAAAATACATGTTAGGGATATAGGTGGAGTGTGGACAAACTTCCACAAGTAATCACTGTGAGACTTTTCAACAACCTGGTGGTGCTTTAGCCAGAATCAGTAAATATATTATTCAGCAGATTGTCAAGAAATTAAAACAAAAATTGAATAGCATCTATGAAGTGAAAGCACCAGCATTTAAAAGACAAATAGATCTTACTATACAGGAGGCATAAAAAGGAGAATTACGGTGCAGGCTGGCCCATGCAAAAATATTGCATGTTCTTGCCCATTTGGGGAACCTAACCCAAAAAGACGACGATAATAATGGGATATGAATGTAAATGGGGGACTATTAGGGTGATTTGTGGAGGGGGTGGGGAAAAGGAAAGGATAGTAAGAGGTAAAGAGGATCGAAGCATGCTATCTAATAGGCAGATAGAGTGATAGATATAGATATAAATATATATATATATAGACAGCATAATGAAATCCACCACTATTTGAAAAGGGGGGAAGAGGTAGGGTGAGTAGAAATATAATGGAGGGGCTGAACTTGTTCAAAGTACACTGTTCACATGTATGGAATTATCACAATGAAATCCCCTCTCATTATTAATGTATGCTAACTCAAAAATAAAAGCCAAAAGAATTATGCCAATTTCTTACTCCTAATCTCAACAAATACAAATCTATTTTTCTGAATCAACCAACAATGTCACAAAATAAATTGAGCAAATCTCTTTTAACCATAACCAAAGTTTGGGTGTCCCCCCTTCACAACTGGACCAGGAGCAATGATTCTCCTGATGTGCACACGGGGATTATGATGGAAGACACACATCTCAAAGCCAAGGTTCTCTCTAGAAGGAATTTCGTGGAGTGGCCTGCCATCCTCACACTGGAGCAGACACGCTGAGTGGCAATATTACATTAGGCTGGGAAAAGCTCCACAGAAACCCACAGCATGGAATCCTGCTTCAGAGGCAGCAGCCCCCAAGACACTGGGATTTCTAGCCTACAGAAACATTCTTAACTCCTCAGATCTAGAAGCAGAAAACAAGGGGACCCTTTCTCTGAGCAACCAGCATCAGATTAGGACTACAAGAACCAAAACCCAGGAAAACCAAGAACCTATTTAAGGAGAAAATGGAACAGGCAATGCAATTGAATTCACAGCTTCCTGAGCTTCAGGGGACAAATGGGCTAAGGTGAAGGTGGTCTCAGGGCAAGAAAAGGCTGCCTTTGATTGAACAAAAGACTTCCCCCTGGAGAGTCACCTGCCCAGTTCTAAGGCCTGTTTTATTTTGCTCCAGGATTGGGGAAGAGTAGGATGTGAGCAATAGATGAAAAATGCAAAGAAAAGTTTTTCTCTGATGAAGGTGAAAAGAGGTTTGTTAGGTTTATTAGGCTAAAGAGAGCTGAAAGGCTGAAAGGAGTCATTTAAATAGCTTTTGATAGCAAGCCACCCCAAGTGGATGAGGGGGGCAGTATCTAGGCTATAGGGTAAGTTGTTTTTTTAAAAGTTCCCGGATCTAGAGAAAAAAATCAAATGAGGATTCAACCCTAATTATCAAGAGCCATAGCTCTGAGTTAGAGCACAGGCAAGTGTGAGGCCCTGGGTTTATTCCCCAGCACGGCAAAACAAAAGTAGGAAAGGTAGCATCCTGGGTCAGCTATGTACTGCTGTTTCCTCCATGGTTCTCTTCATGGTGCTCTATGAACAGGAGGCCCTCGGCCCAGGCATTAGAGGAGTTTTGGACTCATGCAGGGCTTCTGCACCTGGTGGTATGTGCCCTTGGCTCTCTGAGCCTACATTTCTTACTTGTTAAATAGGAATCTAACCCATACTTTAAAGTGACACCTAAATGAGAAAGCACCTAAAACATACTGCAAGTGCTTAATTATCTGCATACGACATCATTTTGCAATGATGAGACTGAAATGAAGGATCATTCTACGCTTACGGCATTTTTTCCTGAGGCAGAAGGGAGCTGTGGCGCTAGCCCTAGGGAGTGTAGACAGCACCACACTGGGGACCACCTCACACTTATGAGAGGCCAGAAATCGCATAGAAAGCCACTTCCGGCCTACAGCAAGACCCCAGCAACCAATGTGAGCAGAGGCACCAGTCTTAGGGGCTGCTTTAAATTGCCTGAGGTCAGAGTCAGAAATACAGGAATTACACCATCAGGGCATTAGACTAGGCAAAATGCATCAGTCACAAAACTACAAATTCTGTATGATTCTGCTCATATGAGCTATCCACCGAAACTCATGGAGACACAAAGTAAACAGGGTTGCCAGAGGCAAGAGAAGGGAAATGGGGAGATCTTTAATGTGTATGAGTTTCAGTCCTGCAAGATGATGAGTTCTGGAGATATCTCACCACAATGTGAATGGACTCAACACTACTGAATTGTGCACTTGGAAATGGTATAGATGGGAATGGTATATGTATTTTAGCACAATTTTAAAAATGACCATGCCTTTCCTGTGGTAGCAGGTTCCCTGGGGTGGAAGGATGAGAAAAGGGGTGAATTCAACTCTGAAACACATTTAGCAGCTGGCATTCCATCAGGACACAAGGGAAGCCTCCCGGTGCCCAGGAAAGTCCCCATAGGCCTGGCTGCATGGTGAGATTCTCTTGGAGGCTGTCTGGCATGCCCCAGGAGGTTTGGGGAGATGATAGGATAGATGCTAGTGAGAAATCCTCTGCCTTATGGCATGCAGAGGGTACAAAGCAGGAAGGGGTTCCTGGAGGGCCAGCCCCCTGTCTTACTCTCAGCCTATAGACACGAGTGGGTTTCATTCCACTGAAGCTGGCGGACAGTGACTTATGCAGGCCCAACCAGATGCTCTGTTCTGAGGGCCACCAAGGAATTTGTTTCAAGTTCTGTGACTCATTCTTGATGTGATAGCACACTCTAGTCAAGCATTTATGGAGCACCTTCTGGCCCTTAGGTGCTGGGTGTTTTCTTCCATGTCTATTAACAGAAGAACACACAGCACTCCACACATACACTCCAGGAAGAACACCACTTCAGAGATTGCCCTGTTCACTTCTCTATGCCTGATGCCTCCTGGTGCCCAGAAATGCTTAGCACATATCACCAAATGCTGCTTTAGACCTGATTCAAGTTTTATATGGGAGATGGAATTAGGTAAGTTTTAACTTTCTATTTTACTCTAAAATCCTAAGCTTCTAGGTTCAGCAATTCATCTGAAAAATGGGAGAAGGGCTGCCAAAGACATTAAGAAAGGTCAATGCTTCTTTTATTTAAACACGTGCGCACAAACACACACACACACAAATTACCTAGCGCCTCCGAAATATCCATCCTCTAGTTTTCTAATTGTAGAAAGAACTGCAGAATGAATGTCTGAGCCATCATTTGCTAAGGAAAAAAAAGTGATGAATGAGTTTACTTAATCTGGTATACTTTTTTTGAGCTATGAACTGAAGTGTTTTCATCAGCACAATCTAATCAAAATCCTTATGGCATAGAAGACTCCTGAGACAAGAAACTTAACTGCTAGGAAGCCCCCTCAGTACTCAGCTCTGCCCATGGGAGCTGTTCTAAATGTTTGGAAAAGGGCTCAAATCATGGGTGGGGCATGAGCCAGCATAGGGAATTCAGGGAATTACTGAGCATGGTGTGTGTGATGGGGAAGGTGAGCGTGGGTCTGCCCGTCATCCGCCAGCAGGTGCACAGGTAGGCCAGCTCGATCCTCAGCATCTCCACCATCATTTCGTTGTCCAGGGCCAGGTAGAAGTGATGCTGGTCAGTGAACTGAAAGTCAGAACAGACCAGTTAAAGAAGGGCTACCCTTCATTTATCTCCACACAACACCAGTTGTCACTCAAGACAGCACTAATCCTGAGTCTTATTGACAGGGAATATGTTCAAGGAAGTCCTGGCCTAAATCCACAGATCTGAGGCCACTCTTCTTGAGATCAGACAAATCAATCTGTCACCTGCTCAGGGGTCATGGCTACATTAGTGTGGAAGGGAAAGGTGTGTTGCTAGATCTGTTTTCAGCACTTCCCGTAGTGGATGTAAACACCTTCCCTAACATCACTGTTTCTGAGAGCAAATCAGTAACTCCTGAATTGCTTATCTTTCTGGGGCTGCTGGGTTTGCAGATGCTTGCCAGCTGAGAGTTGGTGAGATGGGGAGACTCTGCTCGCCAGACTGATGCCTGATTAATGTTAATGAAAATCAAACTGTTCTCCTGTACCGGGGACTAGTTAATACATGCTCAGCTCTGGAATGAAATTTGGCACTAGTGGAAATAACTTACAAGGTTTAAGCAAGAGACATGGGGCAGGATGAAAAAGAGTAGCTTGGGGCTTCTGACCCAGGACCCATGACCAACCATATGCCCAGGTAAGCACCGGCCCATGCCACACCTCATATTAGCAAAGTGACTCCATCATTGATCTTTCTAGCTGTCCTAATGGATGAAAAAAAATTGGTATGTGCGTCCATGGAGCTAGTTTTATTTGGAAGCAAAGACTCTAAAGATAAGTTCCATAATCAGTGTATTCTGTATCCCAGCAAGGGGTGTGCTGTCTAGAAATCAGACTAGCTGTGTGTCACACAGAGGGTCTGATGACAACCTCCACAAGGGTTTAGGACTAATAAGTTTAGGAGCACAGGGGCTGTGAGTCAAGTGATCTGTTACTAGTATATTTATAAAGCTGTGAATTTCACTAATATTCATGACTAAGTGATGGCACACTTAATTGGAGTCAATCAACATTTTCTAAGCAGCTAGTATGAGCAAAGACTTGTATAAGGTACTGGATATCATTATATGTCTCCATCAAACTTATATATGCAGAATTCTGCCATATTCAAAGTAGAGAAGCTTAACAGACAGAAAAGAGAACTTAATAAAAGGAAGCAGGTAGGTTTGACACTGGTTTGCTCTTCTCACCTGGGGTGTAAAAGTAAAGATTTGGTTCCTAATCACATAGAGCTTAGAGGTTCCAAGAACACCAATGTGCCTATATGGTCGCCCACTCAATTTCATATTCTTATTCCGTCCTATTTGAAATATAAAAGAGAAACTGGAGTTAGAGGAAATAGAGTACCAACTAATCCCTGTGATTTAGGCTAAGGCTGGGCTTGTTTTTATGTTAGGCAATCTATTTGGGGGGATTATTTTTTCTAATACAATTGTCATTCTCTAAAATGGACAAAGATGAGTATAGAAACAAATCCTACGCCCTTCTCTTCCTGCATGAATGTTAACAGTACCAGTTTGGTCTGTATGGAAAAGACTATTAGAAGGACTTTATTCATGCTGATTTTTAATTTGTTTAGCATTCAGTCATAATACTAAGCATAGTCAGATTCTAGAAGAGCAAAGAGATCTTCTTCCCATTTTGATGGGTACATGAGCATTTTCAGATACCACAGATTAAAAACTAGAAGTATCAAGACACCAATGACTTTTTCAACTGTGAATTTTCAAAAGTGGCTCCTTGTTGCACCACAGATCTGTAGAATGGTGCAGCCAGCCTATGGCCTTACGAGCTGCCCAGGCTCAGAGGATGTGCTAGTTTGCACATTCCTCACACTGAAGCAGCACAGCCACCTGCTTGGTGCTTTGCCAAATTCTCTACAATTTCAAGTCCCAAATCCAGAACAAAGATGCCACCTTCCCAAACGTGTCCTGGTATTTCCCAACCTACCAAGCTTGGCATATATGTGACTAAGAATCCGGCCTGGCTGTACTCGAATTGGATGGATGTCAGCGATGCTCTGGACATTTACCCCATGTTTCTTCAAGAGCTCCTTAATGTGATTGTTTTCTGCCAAAACAGTGACTGTGAACAAGAAAAGTGCAGAATCAGCACTGGATCGTGCCTGGTGTCTCCACGCACTGACATGTGGAATTTATCGCCCTTTCTTCCTCTGTTCAGTGATAGGCACATTAGAATGCTCCCATGCCCTGGCTAGCTTTGGAAATGTCAGCATTTATCCTGCTGCTCTTCCTGGTTCTCTGTCCTCACCACCCCTCAAAACCCATGATGCATATGTGTCAAGCACTCACAATGTGTGAGACAAAGAGACTTCTAGAAATTGTTTTCAACATGCCCCATGCCACATTACCTAACTTTAAATAATGTCTTGCCTCTTGCTTAGTCTGCATTTTTTCTAAACCTGCCTTGTGTCCTTTTCACACAGGGTAGGGAGCAGAAACAGCTCCCTCAGGGGATGCCAGAAGAAACCTGTGCCCCTGTTCCCAAAGGTCAGGTAAGGCAGTAAAGTATGCTCACAGCAGACACTGACTGAAGGGAAGGAGAGGAGGGACTTCTTTCACTCTAGTGTGGATTCTGGTAGAAATAGGGTTAGCTGGCCCACTCAGAACTAAAACACAAGACCCCAGCAGTGGGGAAGAGTACCCCTGCCTAGGAACTGGACTGGGCCCTATCTTCAGAGGTAAGGCTGGGCACCTGGCTCTCTGGCTGGCAGGGAGCTCTGAGTGCCTGGGCCCTGGGAGCCCATGTAGGAGGGAGACTTTACTTGGGGCCAAAACAGGGATTGGCTGGGCTGGACCTCCTGTCCTAGTACTGCAGGTCTTTACATTTACCCCATATAAATGTAAGGAAAGAAAATGCATTGACCTTAAAGGAAAGGAGTCCAGGCAGAGGTCTGAGGAAGGGGATAATAACAGCCAAAGAGAGCAGCTGTGCCCTGTCCAGCTGCAGCAGAGCCTTCTGGAAATGAGAGGGGCTCAGGCAGAGGAAAAAGGCTTGGCTTCTATTAAGGCAAGTCCCAAGACTCATCACTGTGCCCATCTGCTGGCAGGGGGAGCTTGAACTTACAATACATACAAGTGCCACTGAAAGCTGAATGTCACTTCCTTACATTTACATAGCTCCTGATGCTTTTAAAGTATTCTAATATCCATTAACTCATCTGATTTTCACAAGCCCCTAAGATGCCTCTAATGCTTAACTGGCCAGCTTTGGCTGAATGCCTTGGAAGCTGGTCCCCCAGGTTCCCAGCCAATGAGACCACTAGCCATGCAGGACCGGCTTGGGGCTTCCCTTAACATTTGTCCCTTCTGAAGTTTCTAATAACATACAGAAATCCACATTTATCAAAGCCAGATAATGGTCACTTTCCATAGGAGTAATTCTTTCAGAGCATTGATTTTGACTAAGACCTAGGAACCTCATGATCTGATGCACTGTATGTGGACAAGTTTTGGAAACTGGATCTCCCCTACTCTATGCCAGACCCTCTGATAATTTCCACTCTGTTATACTCCATTACATTAAAAATGTTAATTGGGACCCATCAATGCAACATGGTCTAGAGATGGAAAAGCAGTCTTGTAGATTTAAGAGACTAATTAGCAAAATGTGCCCTGGCTAAGTGCAGGAACCTTGGAGTCCAACCAGATGAGCCCACCTGGAAGTCAGAAATGGGTTTGTACCTCCAGCTGTCAGCTGTAGTTCCTTGAGTGAGATTAGCCTCAAACCTTGCATGTGAAGTGGGGATGATCACCAGAATCATCACAATTTTTACCTATGAGAGTCTTGTGATGGGTAGGTATGTCCCATGTGGTGCCTGCACAAGTATTAACCTGCAGCTTGTCTCACTACATCCTGGGCATGCTTATCAAAATGAGCTAGTAGCCACAGAGATTCTAGGAACGTTTTCCATTTCTTCATTGTCTTGAATTTATGGCTGCCTATGTGCCAATCAACACAGAAGGTAATATGGGGCTTTCCCCTAAGAAATGTACAGCATAATTTAGGGGCAACAAAGTGTATGTATAGTGAGCTATGACACTTGATGTTATGTGAGTGTTTTATGAGGCACCCAAAATATAACAAAGCTGCCAGGAAGTCCTCAGAAAGAGGAAGGCAGGAGACATTGCTGCTCCGGGAGCATTCCAGCAGGCCAGCCCTTTACCAAGAGCTTCCCCCCATGGTCATCTCAGTTCCTGTCATGAGGAGGCACAGGAGCTCTAACAGCCCACAGACACAGCCAGGTGGAAAGCATGAGCTCATCTCCCACTTTTTTGGAAGACAAACTGGTTACAGAGGAGGGAGGGACGGGCGGAGTCAGGTGGCAAGCAGCAAAGAGTCAGAGCTCCACTTGAGTTCTAAGTTTTCACCACGCTCAGGTTCTACTTTTCAAAGATGCTCAATGATTCATGTGTGCCCCAGTGGCAATCAAGGTTTCAATTTAAGAAAACAATTGCTTTAGGAAAGTAAATTTGTGGTTCAGAAGAATACTGTTGTGTGTGGGAGTGACTGAGTTATATAAGGTATCTTACAGAACTGCTGTATGATAAATCATGCGCACACACACCCTTTTTTTGAGAAAGGGTCTTCTTATGTAGCCCAGGCCAACCTTGAACTCTCAATCCTTCTGCCTCGGCCTCGCAAGTGCTAGGATTTCAGGTGTGCACTACTATACCTGGCTGTACGCTCTGTTTTAATTAAATGAAACTCTGAAACCATTTAAATGAAAAAAATAACATTGGTTTTACAAGTAACAGATGAATAGAAAACATAGTCACAAACCTTGTACTACAACATCAGGTTTGACTGAAGTAGAAAATCTTCTATTTAAGGGATCAATTTCACCAGTGGCAAGGAATCCCTAAGAAGAGAAGAGCATTAACACTATGAAATACTGATCAACTAAAATTTCACCTTACCCCTAAGTTTGAAAGAGGCAAATTTTGGGATTTAAAATAATTAGGACTTGTTTCCTTTATATGTTTCAAGTCAACCACTTTCTCTGAAACAAAGTATGCCACTCAGATTGCCACTAATAAATGTATTGCATATTTGGCACCTGGCTCTGCAGGGCTAGTCAAACACACTCCCAACTTGTGAGTGAAAAGACTGTAACTAATACTTCCTGAACTACTACTAGTACCAGGTGCTTATTGAGCCTCTGCATGTGCACTATAACAGGTAGGATCTATCATCACCATCATTTTCAGTTGGGGAAACTGAGGTAAAGGTGCTTAAGTGAAGTGGCAGAGTGAGGACTTGGCCCAGGGCTGACTGCTTTGAAACATAAAGCTCTGCTTATTTTGCTAAGTGAGCTTTTTGAAAGTGCATCTCCTTGCAATTTCTAGAAATGATCTAACCACCAAGATAGGGGATGGAGGTATTCTGGAAAGAAGTGCATCCAATGATGGACCCCAAGGAAGGCCTTTACAGTAAAGGAGGAGGCAGGACACAGAAATCTGAGCTGGAAAGTATTATAGAGATGACCAAGTCCACACTTTTCACATCACCATGAAGAAACCAAGGCTCAGAGAGGTTAAGAGACCTGTCCAAAGTCACCCAGATAGTCAAAAACAGGGCTGGATTTCCAAAGGAGATATATGCATTTTCCCTACTAATTTGAGGCACTGACCACAAACTCAGGAGACCAGATAAACCCATGGAACTGTTGCTCCAACTCAGCAACTATAACTCCCAAGGGACTCTTCTGCTGTGCTATCTTTCATTTGCTCATTTACATACTAGGAGCCCAGTGGCATTCTGACTTACTGCCTCCCCATTTTTACAGCTGGTAGAACACACAGGGCTGGGCCAACCTTGGGCTGGTGGTCCCTCTCTTCTCTAGGCTCCTTCTCCCACACCTCTCCACAAGGACCCAGAATGCTCAGCCAAAGTCTCTCAAATTTAGGAGCGGGGGATTCATTTTGAGACTCTAAGAAGCATTTGCTTTTGCCAACAGAAGCCTGGGGGCAAGAGGGAATGGGTCAAGAGGCAGGAGACTTTCTGTGGGAGGTGTTGGGGCTAAGAGACCACCTGGTCTTGGTGCCTCTTCTAGAGAGAGATCTGAAGAGCCCTTCTGCTTCCTGTGTCTGGGCATCTAGTAGTTTCCCAATTCCTGTATCTTCTAGGACCAGATGTGCTAATCCTGACTAAGAAGCTTCCAGCTCCTGCTGACCAGCAACTTGAAAACCAGGATCTAGCCACAGACCAGGAATGCTGGGAGAAGGGGGAGGGAGAGTGGCGGCATATAGCTGACTAGAAGCAGTTTATTGTAAATATGATGCACAAGGCCAGAAGGAAAGCCTGGGAGCCAGCACAGCCCAACCTGACAGACATGAAGATGCAAATGACACTCACAACCACAGAGAGCCATTTTGCTCTTTCAGGTTTCCAGTACTCCCAATCAGATGGTTTGCAGCCTGGAAAGCCAACAAACCCCCTACCTCTGCCAACAGTGAGCTGAGGATGTACAAGGACTGTCCCCAAAGATGGGGAAGCTTCCCCAGAGGAATTCTGTCCACCGTGTGTGGATTCTTGTACTCTTCATCGACCTGGCAGAGAGAGCACAGTCGAAGGTCAGAAAGTTATACAACACAAAGGTCAATGAAATCATACACTGGGGAATGGGTTGAGGATTTATAAAATGGCCCTCATCTTGCAGACAAATTCTGTGCATTGCAGGATATGGCACCAGGAAGGCAAAAAGGTCTCTCGGGGTCGTATGACTATAAGCAACAGAGGGAGACTTTGAATCTCAGCCTGGGCCCAGGCCAGTGGTCTTCTCACAAACACACTCAGGGCAAGAGGCTCTGGAAGCCTGCCTGCCTTCATTACAGCTCTGGGCATCAGACTGTTCCATAGCTCATGCCTACCTTTGGCTGCATAATGTTGGAAACCAGCAGCCTAAGGTGCTACAGTGCATGACTGAATGTCAAGTCTGGCTTCTTCTCCCTTGCCATCCCCAGGGGTTTATACACTGTGTGCCTATGAAAAAAATTACCAGGAGGTGGCACTATTTATTGAGGAAAAACAGTTGTGCTGCTAAACCAGTAGTAATCTTCCATCAGGGCCTCAGAAAGCAGAATTTACTGGGTGCTTCTGTACCATCAATATATGCTTCTGTGCTCTTTCCAATGGACAGCACTGGCTACACACTGTGAGTTAGTTGGTGACTTTTTCCCTTCTAGACTCCATGCTGCCCTCTGAGGTCTGAATCATTGCCACATCAGTTGGGAGTAATGTCACTGACCCTTTTTCATCTAGAAAACTGAAGTCAATTGAAGGAAATAGGAAACTTATCCAACTACATAGGGAAAAGTCATACCAAGAATGGAGTTATTCTCCAATAGTGGATTAATCAGTGACATTAATATGCTTAGTAAACATTTAATTTTTCAGTAGTAGTAAACATTTTTTAAAAACTTAAGTTTTATATAAACTAATGGAACTAAATGTCACTAGCAATCAAATAATCAAATAGGATAACAGAGTGGGAGGAGATTCTCCAAAACGTCATCATGGTTATCTTTGGGTAGTAAATGCTTTCTTTTTTCTACAGAATCCTGTATGTTTTGTAATGTGTGTAGAACCACTTTTACAACCAGATACTACATTAAAGCTATTTGAAATATAACAAGTGTTAAGAAAGACCAGAAAGAACAAGCATGAAAAATAGCCGATACAAGAAACAGAAAGCAGACAAGGTGTTTGGGTCAAAAGGCACCCTTGCTTTGTCCTCTCCCCCTCCCCCCCACCAGCCCCTCATGGCTAGATCCTGTCTCCATTTGGAGGAGTCCTCCTCACAGCCATTGAACTGCTTTCATGTGCTCAAAGGCACCAGGCCTTTACCAGAGTCACTTCCAGGGCTGCCTACCTCCTCTAGCCCCCAGTAACCTGCATACTCATAGTCACAGTGGTAGCAAGGGAACCACCTTTGTTCCCCAGTCTCTAGCCTGTGCCTGGCACACAGCTGCTCACCATGTTTCCTGTCACTATACATTTGCTGGGAGTACTTTCATTAGCTCCAGGCAGTGCAGTGGAGGGCCCTCTGTCTGGTGGTACCCTATACAGGCATGCCTGGCTGATGAAATGCATGAGGCTGAAATCGACCTGCGGATCAACCTTCTAATTTGCATGAAGGTACCACAAGGGCTTGTCATGTCTCTGCCTACAAGGTTCCTTTCCAGTGGTCTATGCAGGGTCTTGATGTGATTGAGGAAACTTTATAGCTGTCATTGGCAAGGAGCCAATACAAAATGAGGTGAAGGTAAAACAGTGTCCAAGACTGTAGGCCAGCAAACAAGAATAAACACGCTGTGTAAAGGAGAATGTTGTAATGACAAAGATCAATGTGCAGTTTAGAAGAGAAAGCTACAGAGTAAATTTTTACAGTGCACAACCAGTACTGCCCATCAGAAAGCAAAGTGTAACTTATAACACCAAGCATTTACTACAGTGCAATGTGCCTTTTGGGAGAACAGGAATGAATGATCTATCATAAAATAGATAAAATACCTCTGAAATAATTGATTTTTCCTTGCTCCTTCCTTTTTGAGGTTCCAAAATACCTCCTATTGCTAATTTTGTTTTGCCAAATGCCTCAGTACTGTAAAACCACGAACTCAAACAAGGGATATGAACGTGTAGCTGCTGGAAAGTGACCCATCCATGATCCACACATCCATAAATGTAAAATGAATACATCTGCAGAAGACCTAGGTTTATGACACGTAGAGAGAAAAAGAGTTCCAGCAGGTTCCTTAGCTTGATCTGTACCGTGAGGGAAGACCAGTTCTTGTTCAAACTGTCACCCTTAACTTTGGAACGAAATCAGTCCTGAGAGAGCTTGGATGACAGGAGTTGTATTCATACTGGGATGAGGATAACATTAACATTCCAGAGCTCCAGGCTATCTCCACGGGCTGTCCAGTGAGTCCAGGAGTGAACCAGCTGACCAGTAGGATATTGTCAGTGTAAAAGAATTAAATGCTCTTAGCAGTGGAATATTCTTCCCCTCATGGAAACTCTACTTATTTCTTTGATTTAATTGGCTCAGTTATCTAACACATGATAGTTCCTTCTAGATTAAATAAGGCCCAAAGTAATAGATATAGGGCTTTTTTATTGCATTACAAGTATCGTGTCTGACTCCATTAAAACGTATTTTCTTCCTTCATTTTCTTTTTTCTTTCTTCTTCTCTCTTTCATTTTTATTTTAGACAGGGCCTCACTATGTATCATAGGCTGGCCTTGAGCTTGTTATATAGCCCAGGCTGTCCTGGAATTCACAATCCTCCTGCTTCACCCTCCTGAGTCCTAGGATTACAGTATCAGCCATCACACTTAGCAAAATGTATTTTCTATGGGAAAGTAAAAGGAAATCCAATCTACCACTGCTTTGGAAGCCCAGCCAAAGTATCTACTATGTAGAGACTTCCATTAACTGGAAATATACCACCTATTTGGAGGCACTGTGGGCTTGTGGGGTGGCTCTGAGCCTGGGTCTGGTTCCAGGGTGGAGCCCAGTGCTGTCTGAGGTCTGACAGGTTCCCAAGACTCTCTGAGCTGAGGCAGATACTATCAAAGGCTCCTGCCAGTCCCCTGGCCATGTGGAGGGGGTGAGGGCTGATTCAGTCACAGAACACTGCATGACACTGGGATCTGCTGGGTTTCAATCTCTTCCAGTCCTTGTCAATTTGGGATCAAACACACCTCTCTGAAGACCTTTTTATCCTGCAGATGCAATAGTGACACTTTGAAGCATCAGGAGCATTGGAGGGGCAAACAGCCTTTAATGGAGAGCTGTTTTCTTCTAAATACAAGATGTTTACAGGGAAACTCAACCACCAAGACATACAGAGGTCCAGCCTAACCCAATTTAGGGAACTGTATAGAATGAAAACATCTTTGGGCTTCTGCTTGGGCCTGGCCAGTTTCCTTCTTCCTGATGAATGCCTTCTAACTGATAATTACTCAAGCTCCAGCCTGGAAACCACTTAAATCAAAGGAAGAGATTCTCAATTATCCTCTCCTCGGACTCCTGTAGCAATGTATGAGAACATGGCACACAACATTGGTTGATACTCTGTACTGTTCCTTATGCCTAGGGTCGGGGGTGGGACAGGTATGCTCTGAAAGTCTTTAAATGCCACTTCCCTAGGATACTCATAGTCGAAGCATGATTCCACATGTTTTCCCAAAGTCATAAATCCTTACGATGGACACAAACACTACCTAAGGTTTTAGAAACTGCTTCTTGTGGAGAAAAGTGAGTGAAGAATACCCAAAGGGTAAGCACCAACTCATTCAGCTGTAGATAAGCAGCACAGAGGATCCTCACCACCTGGTTACCTTGTCAGGCGGAATGGCATAGAGTTCCGGTACCAAGTGAATCCCGTCCTTGCTTCTGATTAATATTCCCTCCAAGGCCTCTCGGTACTCTTGGACCTGGAAAACAGCCCCATGGCCCTTGATATGAAAGGGGTCTGATGGTTAATGCTGCAAAGCAGTGCAACTTAGAAAACAAACCTAGCTCTCTTGGCAACAGATTAGAAGTCAGACACAGGGCACAGAAAGGCAGAAATGCTTGCATGGAGGAGACTGGGAGAGATTCGTACTGATAGCAAATGTTAGGAGGAGCTAAACATGACTGGCTGTTCCTCCATGAGCTTAGACCCACCTGTCAAGCTTCCCGGCAAAGGGAGAGAGCAGAGCATCATGCAGTAACTGTTTCATCCTCAGAATTCCACAGCGCACACACATCCACATCATGTATCAGACATCTTTCCTATGCTGTCTTTAGCTTGTCTTTTAAGTAGTTTACTCTAAACTTCTCACATAATTAAATTTTGTCTCACCAACCAGATTATAAACTTCTTGGGATGCAAGCCATATGTCAGGCAAAGCATCCCACTTACACCTATGAATAGTTTTCCACTTAAAATATTTATTGCTCTAGAAATATTTGCTGGGGTTGGGGAAGTGGCTCAGCGGTAGAGAACTTGTCTAGAATGTGTGAGGCTCTGGGTTTCATACCCAGAATGGAAAAAGAAAAGAAAAAAAAGAAATATCTGCTGCACAAATCTAACATGAGGAAAAGGAAATGTACTCTGATCAATTCTTAGGATGCAGTGCTCATATAATGAAAGCTGTTGAAGCAAACATTTCCATTAACTAAAAAGGCAGTGATTAAAAACAACATATGAAAAGAGGACAGAAGGAAGGAAAAACTCTTAATAATAATAAATTCTGAGACAGACAGGAACTATGCCTCCTACGACTCATGCCCTTGCCTGGTCCCCTCCTCCTTGAATATGGCATGGCTCTTTAACCAATAAAATGGGATACAGGTGACACTTTGCCAATTCTGGGCAAAAGACTGAGGAATGCCTTGCAGCATTCTTGGGAGAAGACAACTAAAGTGTGAAAAGTTTAGGAGACTCCAATGCTGTGAGAACCCCAAGCCAGACACGTGGAGGAGAACCAAGGTCCCCACCAACAGCGCAGTTGAGTTCCCAATATCGGTTCATAGCCATCATCAACTTGCTAGCCCTATGAGTGAGGGTATCTTGGTACTAGGAGCTCCAGCCCCATGTCAGCTCCATCCCAGTCAGCAGCAGGAGAGGCAGAGAAAATTTGTCCTTATTGGCTCTGCTCAAATTGCAGAATCATGAGCAAATAAATGAAAGAATTGTTGCTTTAATTCAACAAATTTGGTGAAAGATATTTTTTTCTAGCTCTGGGAGTTGAGTTCATGGGCTTAGGCTTGCTAGGCAGGTGCTCTGCCACTTGTGCCATGCCATTTTTGCTTTGGTTATTTTTAGATAGGGTCTTACTTTGTGCATGCACCATTATCCTCCTATTCATGGTTCCCCATGTAGCAGAGATGGTGGGCACACACCACTGTGTCTAGCCATGGTTGAGGTGGGGACTTGCAAACTTTTTCCACAGGGCATGGCCTGAAGCCATGATCCTACCAATTTCTGCCTCCCAAGTAGGTAGGATTATAGGTTTGAGCTACTGTGCCTAGCAGGAAAGTGTTTGAAGTGGCAACAGATAACTGAAACAATGACTTAAATTCTTGCCCAGCCCTATGGTGGTGGGTGAAAAAGCTTATTGTCAGAATAACACCCAGCATTTTCTCACCTGAACAGCATCACCGATAAAGACTCCATCTATGATAAAGTAAGTCCAGAACACAGGCCACTCACATTCAATGTTTTCAAAGAGCTTGAGTTCAGCAGGGTCATAATGCAATCGGTTTGGATCCTGGAATCAAGTACATAAAGCCTTTTGAAAGTGATGTCAGAATATATACACAACACCATCAGGCCTCGCTGGGTTTCTCTAGCTCTTCTGATTCAATGCAGCTTTGAGGTTAGTATGATTAGGAGTCTACTATAGTGGGGAAATGCTATTTTTGGCAGTTTTGCATGGTAAATTTTCAGAAAGTAAATCAGAAATACACATAAAACTCCTTGGTAGTTTATTATACTAAAGCATTCTATGTCTCTAACAGATAAATAGCAATTTGCCTATCACAATGCTTGGTAGATGATCTGTTTATTTATATCATTATACAAGTCACCGAGGAAAAGAAACCCAAGGAGATGGTCAGAGATGGTCTTTAAAAACTGTGTGAGCCCACAGAACTCTTTGTCCTTGTCTACAAGCTGGCTTTACCAGCTTATTGTCCCGATGATCTTACTGTTCTACTGCCTAACACCAGGCTTGCTGACTCCAAAATTAATACTTCCCTTCCCAAGATTCTAACATATAACTATAATCAGTGGAGAAAGAAAAACACAGTGGCAACTTAGGTATGGAGCACTTAAGGAACCATAAAGAATATTTAAATACCTCTCTTGGGGTTTTATAACCATCTCGAAGGAAGCGACAGCATCCATAACGCCCCTAGGTAGGTAAAGAAATAAAATACATTTGATGAAATCAAAATTTCTTTGACTTTTTATTCTTTTAAAAAACATTTATTAGCACATATTAGTTGTACCGGGGTAATTCATTTTGACATCTCCATATAAGCTTACAATTACCTTGGTTAGGTTCACCCCCACCATTTCTCTTTCTCATCCCCTCCCCTATACTTAATGTCTTATTATTCTAATTCAAGTCAGCCTTTCACCCCCCCCATGAATCTTTTAGTAATGAAATGTGTACCAAGTGTTCTTTGCTGTTAGTATAAAGAGTTATTTTAAAGTAATTTCAGGCTTGATCAGTACTTGAAAGAGAATGCCAAAACATTCCATTGGAATACTGGAGATGCATGGGTAATTACTACGAGTTCAGTGAATGATCATTCTTTTATTGTGATTTACTGTACCACACAAAGATGAAAATGAACCCTATTTGAAGATGACACCATGGCTGCTACTAAGATTGGGTAGCTCCTGCTTGAAAGATTGGAAAGCTGAAATGACACTCCCCAGACTCCTTGCAGTCATCCTGTACATACAGAGGCTTTGCTATCAGATGCCCCACAAAGTGTGGCATGAAGGGAAGGACTTTTTGTGATTAGGATTGGCTGTTATTTCCCCTTTGGCAGGCTCTAGGTTTCTTCTCCAGCTTCCTGGCTGCCCAGAATGGAGAGGAGGTAACAGATTCTCAACCTGACCCCCTCATGTCTTGATGGCAGCTTCAGTGCCATTCTCCAGTTTCTTCAGTATGCAGGGTTGCTGCAGCAGACCTGCTTTAGTGTTGGCCAGCTCTATGTGTTCAGTGGAGTTGTCCTGAGGGTACTCGGGCTAGAATCCCTCATTTGGTAAGCACTTCATTCCCTTCCTCCCTACTTCACACCTAAAGAGATTCTTTTTTCTCTACAGAACCTGACCACTCAAGCTGCTGCTTCTGGAAATATGAGTGGAGGCCCTTTAACCCCTTTGTTTCTAAAGGACAAAAGCATTATTCACTAAATCTAAGTAGGACAATCAACATGCAAATTTCAGCTTAGGAAACTTACAATTTTTGAAATGTTACTAATAATTTTAGTTGGTTGGAGAACTTAAAACAGTCTTGGTTTAGTGTGACATGTAAGTTACTGCATCTCACGGCAGAACAGGGATTTTTCAACCATAATTTAACTTGGGATCACCACATATCCTGACACTGAGTGTAAAGTTTGGAACATAGCATTTCTTTGTGGCAGTAACTCTGGATTCTCAAAGAAGGCTGTTTGTGATCTCTAATGGGTTAAGTAGTCCTGCCCTAGAATTACAGTAGTGGTAAGAAGTGGGATTGAATGGTGCCTACCTGAGTACAAGTTCTGCTGCTTAAAAAGAGAACTAAGTCACTTAATCACACTTAAATTTTGTTTTCTTGCCTGTACATTCAGCTATGGATACTTTATTCTGTGGGTCCACTTAGATAAACCAAGTTTATCCAAGAGAGAGTTACTCTATGTCATCATATGAATGTAGCATTTAATGCAGGGCAGAAGGGCTCTAGCATGATCAATGCTTACTTGTAGCTTGGAAATAATTTCACTTTTGGTCACATTCACAAGGTTTACATCTTCTACTGCAAAGGCCGGGAAAGAAATAATGGAAAGAAGTCCAGCATCGATCTCTTTAGATGTTGATGCTCTTGGCAACATGGAGAACAGAATAGACTGAAAGAAAAACAAAGAGGTGGGTTAACCTAGAGAAGCAGCAATAGTTTCATGCAGTATCTAGGGATAGATACTGCCCCAAGGAAACATTCAAGTGAACTTGCCAGTTTGGAGGAAAGCTTCATCCTACCAACATAGCACCTGTTGGCCAGCTTTGCCTACGCAGCAAATGCTTCCTGTTCACTGGGATAAAGGAAAGGGGTTTGGGAGAGCATGGTACATTCTGGAGCCTCTGTTGAGAGCTACTTATCTTCATTCCTTCCACATTCTCTGTTGACCTGGCTGGTACCTTTAGTCCATGTTGGGTAGAAACTACAGGGCTAACTGTGTCAGTAGGCTAGGATGTCCTGGATATAAAGATAGAAACCAGAAAAGAACACACATGCAGGGCCAGCCCAGAGAAATGGCTGCTTCAGTATAACGGGACCAGTTGGATTATTGTGTGTCCAGAAACTGCTTAAAGGAGGCAAATTCAGAAGATCTCATGAACGCTCAGGCAAAATGGTGAACAACAGAACTAGTTTAATCCTTGAATCTTTCCATGGTTATTAGAGGCACTATTACATGGTCTCAACTGTAACTTGATGGATTAGGCATTGTAAACTTGGAAGGCAGTTGGAATTATAAAGAAACATTTGGGAAGGGAAAGGAGCTAATGCTGATGTTTAACATGTACAGACAGGAGGCTAAAACTCTGGCAAACATAAGCTCATTTAAGTCTTCCATGTGGGAAGGAATTAAGGTATTGTGTGTTCAATTCACACACTGGACTCTGAGACACAGAGATTCATGCCAAAGGGCATGTAGCCAACAAATGACCTAGCTAGGGTTCTAATCCAGATCTTGCTGTCTACAAAGCTCACACTTTTCCACTAGACAGACTATATATCTATTAAGGCAGCATGCGTCTCGTAAACTATACCCCAAGAAATATCATACTCCCTATTAATGACTACTTGGTGGGAGAAGATAGAGCAAGCTAGAAGGTGGGATAAAGATGGGTAGAACCCTTCTGAAGCCTTTAGCTTTAGAATCAAACTTTATTTAGTTTTTGAGGTGCTGGGGATCAAACCAGGGCTTGCACATTACTAACCAAGCATTCTACCACTGAGCTCATCCTCAGCCCTAACGTTTTTTTTTTTCTGTAGCTAATTGGTCCCTCGGCCAAGATCTTTAATTACAGTCGTAAGTCACTTGACAATAGGGATTGCTTCTGAGAAATATAATATTAGGTGATTTTGTCATTGTGTGAGCATTATAGAGTGTACTTAAACAAATCTAGATGGTGTAGCCTACTATACACACAGTATATAGCTACCATAGTCCATGTAGTTCTTCACTGACCAAAATGATGCTACAGTGTGCATGGCTGCAGTCATTCCTCCCTAGGCTTTTCTGCCTGGAAACACAAACTCTCACCAGAAACTCTCCATTTGCACGTTTCTATGTATTTAACTCACTTTAGCTCTAGAACATAGTGGGCCCTCACTAAGAGTTTGACTTACTGTTTGCTTAATGGAGTTCCCTAATCTGTATCAATAATTCCTTTCTGCCATCTGTATTTCAGGGAGGTTCTATTAATTTGCCATCTCATCTCTCCTCCACTACCCATTCTACCCATCAACCCCCCCCCACAGTTAGTGCTTGCTAGTCATTAAATTTGGTGGCATCTTGGAATGAAGCTGAGAGAAAACCACTTATATGCTCAAAAGACAGACAACAGATTTTGCCTCTGTACACCAAGGTTGCTTTGGTTGTTGAGGCCATATACAGAGCAACATTGTGTATTATGTCTGTATAGTACTTTCTGGCCACAAAGAACTTGGACACATGGTCTAAATTGATTCCCTGATTCTTATAACTATCTTGTGAGGCAAGAGGGAAGGGGACCAATGTGCAAATTTTATGGATGAGGAAACTGAAGCTCAAAGATGTCAAGTACCAGCAAGGTTTAGATGGGAAATCTGAACTGGAGCCCAGGCCTGCCCCTCTGGGATTTTACTCTCTGGAACTCAAGAGGTAGACCTGTTACCTGGCAGTGCTCAACTTCATCAGGCAGGACATGAATAACTGACTTGCGTCCTCCATGGGCTCCAAAAAGATCTAGTTCATCAATTGCCTCAAGTGCTGCCTACAAACACAGATACAAATTATTATTATTTTTTCTAATATACATAACTGACACTCCTTTTTCATTAAGTAAGCTAGAACACATGTTTTCCCAAAGGCAATGAAAAAAACTAAAATTCAGCCAGAGTCCTATAGTTATATTCTATCTTCCTTTCCAATGAATCAGAGCTTTCTTATATATTGCTGCCCATTCCAGGAATAAGAAAGAGAACAATAGGAAAACACTTCCCAAAATGAAATTAGTGTTCTACCAAAAATGAAATACTAACAAGTATATAACATTGAGTTTGTGTGGCACTAAATTCCTGACAGCTTTTATTTCACCTACTTTAGCAGTTAACTTTTACCATTAGCATATTTGGCACTTTATAAAGTTAACTCTTTTAGTAAATTTTTGTCAGTTTACCTTAAAGGGCATATTTATTGTTGGATTTTAAATTCTGGCTCTGGAGCCTTTACTCTTTCCAAAAAATATACTTTGATCTTAAGAAGGAGGGAGGGAAGGAGGCAAAATCAATGTCTGCAGCAAGAGATGCCAACTGGTGGCCTGCAGGCTGAATCTACCCCACAGATGGAGGAACACTTGAGCTCAGGAGCTCAGGGCCAACTTTCAGTCTCCTGAGAAGCTGGGGCTACAGGTGCACACTATCATGCCTGGCTTGAAGACTATTTTTGAAATGATTTTTAGTTGGAATACCTTTAGGGAAAGTTCCCAGTGTTCCCAATATCTCCTTGTCCCTCTGATATTCTTCTATCTGGCCAGCTTCACTAGCTATTATTACTTGTACAGCCTTGTAGAGTTGAGCATGTGGACCTGACCACAAAGTATTCATATTCTTCAGCCTTCTCTATGACCTATAAGGGAAGACTGGACTTCTTGCCTGCAGCTTCTTAACAGCAAGAGCTTACTTAGACCTGTGGGTGATAATGATGGACAAAGTGCACTTATTTTCTGACATATGCATATTTCAGCATAGGAACTCACTTTCTTGACCCATAATTTCAGTTGGCTGGGGTACATGTGCCACTTAAATTTCACATACTTGTTGTTGACTTTTGAAAAATGTGCTAATCAGATTAAATCCAAGCCGTCAACAAAGAAAACATAAGCAATGCAGTAAAAACACACAGAAGGGAGAACAAAAAGGACAATTGTTACCTTGGCCATTCCCACAGAGCTTGCATTCAATTCTGGGATGCCCTGGTTAGTCTTATCTCCACGCTCCCACATTCCATAATCCTTTAGGAGAAAAAGGTAGTCATTAGAGAGGGAGAAAGAGGTATATGAAAGTGCTATGGAAGATGATTCAATTATGTTACTGCAGGCATAATGAAACATGGGTATAGCTTCTTGAAGGCTCCCAACTCCCTGACTTTATACACTCAAATTCTGGGCTTCCTTAGTTTCAGTTCATGTGGCCTCTGTGCAGAATTTTAGAAGAAAATACTCGAGTGGAACAAAAGTGCATGCAAAAACACTCTCAGATTTCTTATTTCTAAAAGGCATTAATTTGTAGGAAACTTTTGATTTGTAGTAAACAAAATATTTATCTTAAAATCAATTAAAGTGCTACCTCACTATTTAACCAATGCCTATTAAATTGTAAGGTATAATTACAAAACTTTAACACATGGGTTATAACTCAGTGAAACCAATGAACTCTTTTAAAATAACTTAAAACTTATTTTTAGCATTACCTCTTGGGTGCAAAAAAAAAAAAAGAAAGAAAAAAAACCTGCTCAGCCATAACTGGAACCAAAATCACCAGTGAAGCACAAAACACTGAACATACGTGGTAATTAAAAACCAATCAGTATAAATTGGTTCAGAACCCTCTGTTGCATAGAGGACTCCATACATGTGGAGTCACCATACATTCGGTGATTCATATTTTCATTTAAAAACCCAAGTACTGGATCCTATTTCAAAATGCTATGTGTACTATTAAATGGTTTTAATTCAATAAGAACAGGATCGATGCAAAACGTTAAGTTTTATTTTCTAATCTCCAAAGAGGAACATTTGCAAATTGTGAACACTGAAACTTAGAAACAGTAGTGGTACTTTACACCCAGCCCTGCCCAGGCCTCTTTCCTTCAGCACTCCTCCTACCTGAGCTCTCCAACCCCACAGCCTTGTGACTCATCCTCAAAACTATTTTGATTACTTCAACCCCCTGCTTCAGAATCTAAAATGACATTTTTTCACCTGCATTAGAGAGAGGTGTAGATGTGATCCTCACAATCTGGCCTCCATCCCCATATGCCCACATGCTGACCTTATTTTCCAATATTAACTTTCACCTTAAGCTTGCTACTTTACTCTGTACTACTCTCTTTCTCCAAGCCCTATCCCAGCCCTCTCCTAGCACTCTACCCAATCTCAACTCAGAGCCTGCTCCTGCCTCTGTAACTGTTGTCGCCTCATGCTACTTCCACACCCAAACACCCTTTCTCCTCCCTTCTCCTTATCTAAACCCCACTCATCTCCCAACGTCCGACTAAAGGCCCACTCTTTCCACAAAGACTTCTTAAGTTTCTTTCGACCAGGGCTTGCTCAACTTTGCCACTACTAACATTTTTATCCAGATAAAACTGTGTTCTGCAGGAGGTTTAGCAACATCCCTGGCCTCAGCCCACTAGATACTAATTGTACCCTCCCTTCTCAGTGTAATTACCAAAAACATCTCCAGACTGCCAAATATCCCCTGGGAGAGAAAGGTTGCCCTTCAATGAGAATCACTCTTTAGACCTGAGGTCAACAAACTGAGGTCAACAAACTTGGACCAAATTCTGCCAACATGTTTTTTAAAAGTCTATTTGGGATACAGCCATACTCATTGTGAACGTACTGTTTATGTGGCCTTCCTATTACAAAGGCACAGTCAAGTCCACCACAGAGGCCATAGGATCTGCAAAACAGAAAATGTTTACTCTCTGGCCCTTTGCACAGAAAGTGTGCTAACCTTTCTTTAGACCATAGGTAGGCTTGGGTTAAGTTTCTTTTTTATACCAACCTCTACCCTTTCCTTGCTGCCCTGACAGTCAGCTTTGTATCAGTTGGCTAGAGATGGATTGTGCTCCACCTTCCAAGCCAGATGAAAGCCTGGAGGAAGTGGGTTTTGTGTTCACACCCATAGCCTGAGCCCTTCAACTTATTAGTCAGCTGGGGAGATCCCCAGGGTGCCCAACCTCCCACCAAAGCACCAATTCTGCCACTCTTCAGCCTGACTCAGGTTGGCCTGTACACATCCCATGGAATATTTCAGTCTTATTTAAGATAAGCACAATGGATTAAGACAGAGCAAGTGGTGCACTCCAAAAACATAATATCCCAACTGTATCCCAGGACAAAAATGTGCACTTTGCACATAGAGGTGACACAATCTTAGAACTCTAGTCTTGATAATGTTTTGGTTAGCCCAAAACAGCCTGACTCAAACAGAGTATAACTTTTATTCTTTTGGACAACTGGAACACCTGAAAAAGACTTCCAGCACTGATACTTACAGCAACTTTATATGCAGCTTCTATGTAAAAGACAAGATTCTGTATGAAGGCCACCTCATCGAGGGTGAAAATAATGCGTAAGCCTAGTAAGGAAAAAACAAAGTTCTGAAGTTATGTTGTGAAGCAAGCTACCTATTACAAATTCCAAATATCATGCTAGGTAAGTCCTTCTTCCCTCATTTTAATTTTTTTATCTGGGCATCAAATATTACATTTGAAGTAAGTCAAACAGTTAATATCTAATCTCAGAAAGATGAAGGAAGGAAGGGAAAGGACAGGGAATGAGGTATCAAAGGAAGAAAAAGGAAAGAGGAAAGAATGGCTTTCTTGTGTGAATGCCTGAATAGAAAGAGAAGATATGGGGCCTCTTATATATGTTGGATTTTTGCAGAGAAGAGTCCAACAAACCAAGGATTTTAGCCCAGAAAAACCAGTGACATTGTCCTTTATCCTTGAGTGAGCCAAAGGGAAGGGTGGGTACTTATCCCCAGCAGCAGATAACAAAAGTAGAGCCCTCAACTTCGGGAGCTGGTCTTTCCTCCCATGGAAGGCCTAGTACCTAGGACCTGCCTAGGAGATCATCATCAACTTATTGCAATAGGCATGACCAAGAAAACTAGTTTTTGCTCAGCCCTTAAAAATTCAGTTATGACAAATACACACACACACACACACACACACTCACACATTGTTTATTTCTCTGTTTGAGACAGTCTCGGTATATAGCTTAGGCTGGCCTTGAACTCTCAAATGCTCCTGCTTCAGCATCACAAGTGGTATGTGTACTACCATGCCCAGCTAAATACACATATTTTTATTAGCATATAATAGTTGTTCAGGAGGATACATTCTGATATTTACATATGTGCTTACAATATATCTTAGTTAGATTTATCCCCTCTATTATTCTCTCACCCCCTCCCTGCTTTCTTAGAATAATTTCAACAGGTTTCATTCTTCATTTTTCATATATGAATACAAAATACACCCTCATTCACCCTTTCCTATGCCCCCTCCCCTCCCCCGAATACCTACCCCCAGAAAAGACCTATTTTTTCCTCCTGCCCTTCATTTTTTGTGTATATTGATGGTCCAAGGGAGTTTTGCCTTGGCACTTCAGACCTGTATATATCATGCTTTAATCAACCCCCCCCATTACTTACTCATTCTCTATTGCCCTGCTCCCCTAATAGCCATCAGCTTATGGTGCATTACATTATATTCATATATAGATGGGTTGTTTCAATATTTTTCATTCTCTAACATTTTCTTGCCCTCTCCTGCCTCCCATAGTCCCCTGAGATAGACCCATTAATACAGTCGTGTTCTCTCTCACTACATGTATAAACAATATATACATGTAAATACATACATTTTAAAGCATGAATTATGTTTTTGCTGGTGGTACTAGGGATTGAACTCAGGCCTCATGCTTGCTAGGCAAGCACTCTCCCACTTGAGCCACTCCCTTAGTCCTTTTACTTTTAGTTTGTTTTTTGGATAGTCTCATGCTTTTTGCCTGGCCAGCCTCAGACTGCAATCCTCCTTCTGAGCAGCTGAGATTACAAGCAAGCACTGCCACACCCAATCTTAAAGTATGAATTGTGGGATAATGTGATTTTTGTTTGGGTTTGCTGTTGCCCATCTATATTGCTTTTTTTTTAAGGTACTAGAGTTTGAACTCAGGACTTAAAGCTTGCTAGGCAGGCACCCTACCACTTGAGCCAGGCCCCCAGCCAAGAAAGTATGAATTCTTTTTGAAAAAAAATTTTGGTGGGACTGTGGTTTGAACTTAAGGCCTTGTGCTTGCTAGGCAGGTACTCTACCATCTGAGCCTCAGGTTTATGCCCAGGGTAGCATGGACTGTGATCCTCCTATTTTGCTTCACATATACTGGGCTGACAAGTATATGCCATTACACCCAGCTTTTTATTGGTTGAGATGGGGTTTTGTGAACTTTTTGCCTGGGCTGGCTTTGAACCATGATCCTCCTGATCTCTAATTCCCAAGTAGCTGTGATTATAGGAATGAGTCACCACATTATTAGCATAAGTTGTACAAAGGGGTTTCATTGTGACATTTATGCACAAGCATATAATATACTCTAATTAAATCCACCCCTTCTATATTGCTTTCTTAATCCCTCTCCCCCGCCCTCTCCTTTTAAATAGTTTTACTGGGTTTCAGTATGCTATTTTCATACATATATAATGTAACCTTCAACATATTCACTCCATGTAACCCTCCTTTCACCCTCTCCTTGATTTTCCACCACCACCAAACAGATCCCTATTTTATAATCGTGTCACATTATTGTATCTTTTAGGTCTAGGTTCCACATATAAGCAAAAGCTTACAATATTTGCCTTTCTGATCTCGGCTTATCTTGCTTAACATGATCTCTAGTTCCATCCATTTTATTG